TTTACTCCAGGCCAGGTTAAGGACAGAGAATGTAATTCTACATCACATCAATAAATGACAATACATCGTGAACTCTGCAATAATTCTAGAAAAGGATTTGCAGAGAAAATGCAATTTATACTTCATACTACCACACAAATTTCTTCTTGTCTCTGACACCTTTGGCTGCCAGACAGGTCTACAGAACCATCCTGTTGATGTAAATGTCATTAATGAGGAGAAGAACCACTCCATGTCCACAGGCCATAAATTCATAGCATGGAATCACAGAATGGTTTGTGTTGGAAGGGGCTTTAATGATCATCTGCTTCCAGCCCAAGTATTTAATTTTCAAGGGGATTTTAAATTCCTTATCTGTGCTTCAGGATGAGAGGGACAGGCAGGAGAGCCTCGATCCTCTGGCACAGCACTGGCACTATGACCCACCCTCCTTCAGCTTTTTTCTTAATATCACACTGGATTTGAGCATCTCCCAAAATTCAAAGACACAGTGAGCCTGTGGAGAAGCTCCACAGGAGGTGAACAGCAGGGCCTGGTGTCACTCCAGGTCCTGTTTGTCCCAACTCCTCTGGGGAGCGCGTGGCTCAGCTCGTGCCACACGTGGCTGTGACCCCCTGGTTCCTCAGAGAAACCCCCCTTCCAACGGGGCCCAGCTCTCCTGCACCACACCAAACGTGCTCTGAGCCGGCAGCAGAGGCTGAAGTGAGGAGCAAAACAAATTCCAGGCGTTGGTTTTTGAGCAGCTCTGTGATTACTGCGAGGAGAGAATCGCCGCTGCCATAGAAACGGCAGCGCCAGCCCGGGGAGCGCGCGGTGCCGGGCACACCTGGCACTGCTCACACTGTGCCACAGCCCACTGCTGCACCCCACCACTGAAACACCCAAAATGCACACATACCAGCCTCTGCTCTCTCACAGAACTTTTCAAAGTTGATACTTCTCTTGCCAGCAGCAAAGAGCTGCTGGTAAATACAGCATCAGCCAAGCGCGCGTATAACCCGCTCTGAGCTTCCTCACAAAATAAAATCCGTGGTAAATTCAGTGCTACTTACCCAGCTCTGCACAGCCCGGGTGTGGGAAAGGCACCCAGCACCTCTGCAAACACCTGTGGGTGATAACAGCACAAGGTAACATCCAGAACTCCAATAGCAAATGTTTAAATCCTGCTTCTCTCCCATGGGCTCCCACTGCCCTCCAGCATCTCCCCTGGCAATCAACCAGGGAGCACTGGAAATAAAAGATCTCCTCAGATGTCCAAGTGCTGATTACTATTTTATAGACATATTTAAAAGATTTTGTTAAAGAGATTGTCTTGGCAAGCACTGCTTAAATAAAAAAGCTGAGCAATCAAGTGAAGAAAGCATTCCCCTAGGATAACCCCACTCTTGTTGTAAACTGCAGTAATTAAAAAAGCAAACAAATCAATTGTATTTATGCAGTGACTTGAAAAAAAAATTAACAAATTAACATTAATGCGCTTGACAAGAAACATGTATATATACTAGATTATTTCATCGTGATGAGGAATTGAATTCCTTGCATGTAATTAGTAAGTTAAAAGTTCTAGTATTTCAAGAGTTTAATTACTAAGAGAGAACAAACCTAGATATGTTTCTATAAATATAAATCCTTAGTTTTTAATGCAAGTTATTTAAAAGAAGTCATTAGAACGTCTGACTTTCAGATTATAAACTTACTCTTCAAAAACCACAAAAATCACTCCAATTACAGAGCAGAAACATGCTGAGGTAAATTCAGGGCTCCCACCCTTGCTCCAGGATGCACAACAGCACTGACCTGCCAGAAGGGGCCACATCGACCCAAAGGGCTGTGTTCAATTAAAATAAACAATTAAAACAGAAAGAATTAAAACATTTATTGGGCATAAATATATTACATATACACTACAGATACAGTTAAGTCTTACATACATAGTGTAGTATTTGCAAAATCTATACATTAAAATTGATATGGCAGTTTTAATATAATGCATATGAAATAGTCTAAAATTTACAATACAAGAAAACTTTTGATTATTTTTCTTTTTAAAGTTGAAAAGCTTGGAATGTATGTTCCCATAGTGAGGTAAAAACATTTTATTTTTCTTTTTCAATTTAAAGAACTGTGCAAGGATAAGGTTCATACACATTCAATTAGGGCACTTCTCAATCGTGACACTGAATACTGAGCTACTGGAGCCAACAAACAGGATTAGAAAACACTTCAAGTTCATAAAGAAAAAGGCAGAACAATATAAAAACATCTCTCTCCTTCCTTAAGGGTATTAAATACTTAGTGTTCCATTCTGCCTTTGTTGGTGGTGGTGATTTCTGTGAGAGCAGAGCGCCCTGGGGCTGGATCCAGCCCCTGCCACTGCTGCACCAGGGGCACGAGGGGGTTTGGGAAGGGCCAAGGCAGCAGCAGCAGTGCTGGGTCAGGGACAACATCCCTCAGAACAGGAGGGTGTGGCACCAGTGACCTTTGTCACTGACACACGGGTGACATCAGATCACTAAGGCAGGAGATAGAGGCTGAAAATGCCAAATTCACCGGGCCTGTCCCAGCTGCTCCAGCAGCATCTCCCAAAAGCTCAGGCTTGGACTGGCTTGGTGAGGTCACAGGGGACCCAACAGATCAGCAGTCACAGAGATGCACTGAAAAGTGTGACTGACTGCTCTCCCCTCCACTCTGCTCACTGCTTGTAGTAGCACTCGTATTTCAAACTTTCAGAATGGCTAATCTAGAGCACACTGGGGTTTTGTTCCTTTTCTTTATTAAAGCAGTTTTTGTCTTTTTCTTAAAAAAAAAGGTGTCAAGCTCGGATTTCATAGCAGCACTGCTCAAACAATATACCAAAAATAAAAAGAGGCAATCTATTCAAATTTCTGGGTTTTTCCAAACTAGCGGTCTTTTCATCTTTTTAAAAAATACACTCTTCTCCCCTCCAATGAAAACAGCTGTATACTTTTTGCTCACAAAATACAGATGCAAGGTCACAGAGTTTCATATCACAAATAAATTTAAATAAGATGTAAATAAATTTGACAAGCCATGACTTTGGCAAAAAACAAAAAAATATATATATTTAGCTCAATGCCATTAGTTTGCAAGGCTAAATCAAACTAATTATAGTCAATAACAAAATACAGAACATTTCTAATATTTGCTACATCTAGAGAGGCACACAGAATAATTCATTGATCTTAGCACTTTCTTTCCAGAGATGATTTTGTTTTTGGATACATGTAAACGTTTGAATCACTGATAATGGGGTTTTTTTGGCATTTAATGTACTAGATGCTCCCATCTTCAAAAACACAAGAAAATGCAAGAAGATTAATAATACTAGGAATGCTGCCAGGTAAAAAGTTGACCTAAAGTACAACAGTATAAAACAGACAAAATGTAACATGCTATGGGGAGGGTGGAGAGGGGGATTAGATTAGTACATAAGTACACTTTTTATTTTTTATTTTTTTACAATAAATAAAAAGATTGCACTGTAATTGGTATTTAAAGTACTGTATGCAGTATATAGTATAAATAAACCTAAAAACAAAAATAATGTTGTTTTTTTCCCCATTACTTTGGTTAAGGGAATATTATGCTAGTACAGGACACTGAATCTTAGACGATGGAGACAGAGCACAAAAAAAGATAGGACAAAAGCAAAATCAAGTAGCAAAAATATACAAAAACAAGAGGCAGGGAAATACACTGTGTCTGTTGCACCCTTTTGGAATCTATTTGCACCTCCAGCTCATTTATGTCCCTGAGGTACTCGCACAATGTTGTCTTAATATAAATAACCCCATGACTCAAGAGTTAAAAAATCTAGTGTCTCGATGGATTAAAATGTGTCTGGGAAGGGGCAGGCAGGAGGGGGACACTGCCACCAGAGCAGGGACCATTCCTCTGCAGGACTCTCATCTCACTTTTGCCAGGTACCAAGTTATTTCAATCAGCCCCGTGGTAAGAACAGCATGGACACCCTTCTAAGGCATTTAAAACAAACAGATGTGATTTCTGATACCTCCAAAAAGTTCCATAAAATAGACACCCCTCCAAAAAATAACAATAATATTAATAATAAAAAAAAAAGATCAACTGACAGTAAAGTTTGCTTCCATTGAGTGTAAATCTCACCTAATTCAGTAGAGGCAGTAAGCTGTCACCAGCTCGAATCATATAAATCAGGCTGAACGTAATAGAATAATATCTAGTATTAGATTAGGAATAGTTATATACAGTGACAAACAGACAAGTTAAAGCAGCTTTTAAATAGCTGAACATGGGAATAACTAACTATTGCACAATGCCCTCTTACTTAAAATTACTGCTAGGAATCAAAATGGTAAAAAAAAGATCTATAATGCTTCATAATTTATACGTAGTTTGGTTATTTGATTTCTTATACAGGCAGTTTATAGTGTTTGTAACTGTAAAAAAAACAGGCAGCTAAAAACCTTTTTCAACTGCAGGATGTTGTTCCAATTTAAATGCACTAAACAGTTAAAATAAAAACTTAGGTTTTACCTTGAAAAACTGGGGCAAATGTAGTGAATAATTTGTAGGCAACATTGCTAATACTGTCCAAGGAAAAACTGGTACTTGACTAACACTGTATTCTAGTCTTACCACTATACATACTTGTGACTAAGGTTTGGAAGGAAAAAGAAGAGACAGAAGAAGTGACTCATTATTAAAATTTCCTAAATAGTAAGATAAAATAAGAGACTGCATGAACTTCAGTGAAAAAAGCCAAACCATGGAAAAGGCAAATTGTTGACAATTTTGAAATCGCGAAGGAAAGACAAAAGAAATCTTGCTTTTGGTATCTGGTTTGCTTGTTTCTCCAGTTTGACCACTTCCTAGTTCTGAATTTCAAAAAGGTGCATCAAACCACTGATTTATCTTTAACTGTATAAAAAAAGAGCGGTATATAAAACGCATGGTAGAACGAAGGATTTCAAAACAAAAAAAAAGGGGAAAAAAAGGAGGAATATCTGAATAAATGTGTGGATTATAATGCGTAGCATTAGTTAAATCTGTACTTTAAACTCCGGTTGGATTGCCTACTTCATAAAGAAGTACTGTAATATACAGGCGAAGATGATGGAGAGGCTGGCGAAGCCGAGCACGATGAGGGCGGCGAACTGCTCGTCCGTGGGCACGGCGGCCTTGGCCTTGGCCTCGGCGCCCGGCCCGCCCGGCAGCTCCAGGGCCCCGCGCTGCAGCGCGAACGCCGCCGACGGGCTGAAGGGGCCGCTCAGCTCCTGCCACGGCTCCAGGCAGCGGCGGCAGGCGCACACGCGGAAACGATAGTCTGTGTTCACCTGAAGGCCTGAGATGTGGAATGTGGTTTCTTCTCCCTTGTACACCTTGAAAACAAAGCAGGCAGCATGGTCAGACACAACCTCAAACAGCGCGAGGCCTCACGAGGGGTTCGCCATGAAGGCCTCAGTATGAGGCCTCAGTCTGAGACCTTACAACTTCAGCTTTTACGTTTTTCAGATCCTGTACTAGTGATTGTGATTCCTGCATTAGTGATTAACTCTGAACTCCATATACAGTGTTCGTAAGGCCTCTCCACACAGTTTGAGCAAACAAAACAATCCTTCCAGGCCTGAGAACCAAGGCTGTCATTGCAGCCTCAGGCCCCAAAAAATGAATATAATATATAATATAAACAAATATAACATAAATACAATATAAACGAATATAATATAAACTACTATAGATAATATAATAATAAAATATAAATAAAACCTCAAATATATAAAAAAATATATAATATAAACTAATATAATATTAATATAATAGCATATCGATATATAACATAAACAAATGTAATATAAACTAATATAATCTAATAATAATAAAATATGAAATAATATAATAGCAAAATATAAATGTAGATTTAACAATATAAATAACCCCCCAAATATATACAATAGAATATAAACAAAAATGAATTCTGGGGGAGTAAACTGGGGAAATGTGACTTCATTACCTGAAGGACAATTAGCCTCTGATATGCAAAGACATCAAACTTAGATCTGTCTGAGAAACTCATGACCATTGTCCATCTTGGGTGAGGCCTCCATGGGGCTTTTGCACTGCCCAAGGTCCATCTGCTGAAGGCCTTTAATAAATACCTATTTAATTCTCTAACTCTGCCCAGCCTCTGTCCTAGGTAGTCTCTCCAGGCCTCAAGTCTCTAAAGGAAACAATTCTCAAAGGAAGGAACTCACTGGGTCAACACAGATTTCAGAAAAACAGAGGCAGGTGGAGGACTTCTCAACAAGTCTCAACACAGGACAGACAACAAACACATCACTCAGCAGCAATGATAGCACACACTCATCTTCTGTGGGCGTGATAAAAGCTACAAACGTACTTCTGCACTCTGAAAGTGTGACTGGATGCCTAAAACATGTCTGGGACATAATCACCCTGTCTGGCCTCAAAAGGAAGAAAACCTGCAAACGAGGTTATTGGAAGTCATTCAATGTGTAGTTGTAAAATTGCTTACAAATGTAATTTTTATGTATTTTCCCCTCACATTTCTTTCAAGAAACAGCGGTCTTACCAGAAATTGCACTTTCAGGACTGTGGAAATAATAAAATATTATTAAGGTGTGAAAAATTTCTTTTGATTGCATTCTATTTGGTTGTTTACTAATCCAAACCCATCACCTATTTATGCTAATCAAATGTAGATACCACATGACTCAGAGCACAAGTCACAGTATCAGAAAGGAGAGAAAAAACTGAGTATCTGAGACAATTTTGTGACTTAAATGGAAAAAACCCCACTGGAAATATTCACAAACTCTGAAAACAAATAATTTATATAATGGAGGGTTGTTGAGACTGGTATTTTATGAAATGAAAGAAGTGTCTCAGAGTGCCTGTGTCTGCTGGGAAAACATCCTGAACTTCAGATGCTTCTTCCTCTGCTCATTTAGCATTTCCCTTCTCTTGGCTGTGGGAACAGAAGGCTGAGAGCATCTCTGCTCTCCCAGAGGCAAGAACTCATCTTAGACAAAGGGAGCAAGTGGGAAAATAGTCCCAAGCCCTTAGAGGATTTCCTGTGTGTTACTCTGGAGTAAGAAATAAGGAGGAAAGAGAAGAAACCTGCTCAGCTAAAGACCACTTAAAGAGCTCCCAAGCTTCCCAGCTTTCCTGCCCTGCTGGCCCCTGAGACTCATCCCTTGGTTAAACAGTGATTTGCTGATTTTTTTGAGGTCTGTGACAAAAAGATTAAAGTGCTTCTTTTCTTCGTCTTCTCCTTTTCTTTTCAGCTCTCACAGCTTTTCCAAATGCAGTTTGATGATGGCAAGTCTGGGTTTCCAGACTAAGTCCTCTAACTGGCTCATGTTTCTTGGACCTGAGGCACAGATCAAGAACCAACATTCAAATAAACGTTGCCTTGCTCAAGTATTGCTCAGCATTTGCAGGAAGTTTCCTCCAGGTCAAGTGACAGGACTACAACAAATTCATCTCACAAACCCTGTGACTGGCCACCACAGCCATGCACAGCTGCCCTTCCTCTAGTGTTTGTCTTCCCAATGCCAATGAGGAGTGAGTCACTGGGTTACAGTAATTGCAGGGAAAACAAAACTGAAAGTGCTGTGGCAGGCCACAGCAGTGATGTGAGGGTTGAAACATCTGTTTGCAAAGCAGTCCCCGTCCCAAGAACACCTCTGCCACCCTGCTCTCCAATGGCAATTCCATTTCTAATACCCACCTGGTGTGGGCAAATCTCTTGTCCCACAGGACTGAGCCAGGATTCTTCCACCCTAACTCCATTTCTTTAGATTCTGAGTCAGGGCAACTCCAAGCCCTCACAAAATAACTGTCAGCAAGATTTGCTTTCTGGTGCTGCTGTAATTAATAATTTCATTTCAAAACATATAGCCAGAAAAGCTCTTCCTGCCCTTGCCACAAACAAACCTTTGCAACCAATATGACCACTTCTGAACCAAAATAAAAAATCCAAACAATGACATTTAATTAAAAAAATTTACAATCTAAACTTCATAAATTACATTTAAGAGATACTAGCAATTCCATATATACAACCTGTCGATGCACTGAAAAAACTTCTGTCCTGTTAAAAAAAACCCTGGGTTTTTTACTTATTTTGTTCTGTCAGGGTGGTGAATACCAGTGCAACTGGAGGCCAGGCTTGGCTAAATCAAAGACCTCTATCTTCATCACAGTCTAACAAGTACAGATGGCCAAGTTCACTCAAGCCAGCTATTCAACAGCACTTCTCATAAAAAGCCAGACAGCCAAGTGAGAGAAGAGTGTATCTGTAAGGGAAGTTTGAAAAATTGTTGAAAGTAGATAGAGTACATGCATTAATATTCACCAATGATAAAGACAAAACATCTCCTGTAGTAGCACTAGGATGGTTATGGAAATTGTCCTGCTTTCAGTGGTCTGGTATTTACCTGAGTGGACCTACCTATCAGTAACAGGTAAACAATTGTTAAATTGTCACCCACTCCTGAGAGCAGCCTCTGTACCCTCTGCAGCAGCACCTCAGAGCTGTGGCAGGATGCTATATGTGAGTGGATCTCACATACACAACAGAAAAAACCCTTGACAACTATGAATAAAGTCTTTAAAAATCTGCCAAACAAATGTGAAATCAAATATAACTCTATGAAGCAGCAATATTATTTTATATGTAGCACATTATGCTTTGGTGGCCAACAAGCCAAAGTGAAGTGCCCATCCAATTTATCACTTTCAGCTCCTAAAAACAGCTTTTTGGTTTGGACACTTCAGAATACAATAAAAATGTGACGAGCTTTTTGCCTGGCTCTCTCAATGGAAATATCATCACAAGTAATAAACTGCTGCTGAAGACTCTTATGGTATTTGATCCTACTGATGGAGCTAGAGAGACAGAAAATTCCTGCAGGCAAGGATTTCTCAATTTCACTGATCTCATTAAATAATTCCAAGCCTATCCCCCGCGTTCCAAACAATAACAATGATAGCCATAACTGCCCTATAAGAAACACACTGGAAAGTGCAAGGTAACCTCACCTGGCTGCTGCACCCTGATGCAATGGCCAATGTCTTTGATAGTTAATAAAAGCCTATTTTGTATACTGATAAAAAGAGAGAATCAGAGAATGGTTTGGGTTATAAATCTAAATGTAAACAGGTCCTGTGTAATTCTCATATTTTGACACACAACCAGCACAAGTGCCTTTGACTGTAGAAACAGAGAAGGAAACCAAATCTTTGGCTGACTAAGCTTTACAGAAATTATCAGTTCACTAAAGTGTTTCAGAATGTCTCTCTGTTTGTCTACACAATCTAATCAAAATAAAAAAAACCAACAATTAAAGTGAGAGCTTGGTGAGGCCCCAGGCACCCACCTCTCAGTGCAGACCTGAGAACTGCTAGGAGTTTTTCACACACCCAGTGTATCCTACCAACACTGTTTTTTCTTTTGGAAAGCATTTGGAGACAGTTTTTTTCTCAGAAGAGACGTGGCAGAAGCTGATGAAACACTGCTGCCTGCAAATTCTTGGAAATTTCAAAGGTAGAACATTTTGCTTCAGCAGCAAACAATTTAAGGATAAAGAAGCTTTAAAAAGTTCAGTTCTCACTTTCCATTGTCAGCTCTTAAAAGGATTTGGTTCCTGGGTGTTTCCATCCCCAGAGCTGCTCAACTGGGAAACCAAACCTTAGGCTGCTGGGCATTCCAGCTGTTACCCCAAACTGCAGCTCCTGCTCCAGCCCACTCCCCTAAATCCACATTAAAGCTATGCAAACACAGACACAATTTAATACACTTTGGAGATAAATTCTGACTGAGTGAGCTGTGCTGGACAGAAGTGCAAGAAACAGAAAAACAAATCCAGGCCACTGATTCCTGGAATCTCCTGTGGCTTACATCCTGATTCATAAACAAGGAAGATTTGATTTCCTAAAAAGAACTGTCCCATGGCATTTCTTTTTAAAAATTATCTGTAAAGATAAAGCACACAAAGACACAAAAAGGAACACACTGTGTGAGAAACAAGGAAAGGAGTATGTAGCATTTTTTAAAATACACTCTCCAGGGAGCTAAAATGTTCTCTGTTTAGCTCCAGCAAATCCAGTTCTTCAGGCAATTCTCAGCAGAGAATTATTTACAAAATATTCTCCCAGAGGAGGGCAGGGATGGCTACAGTCCCAGTCTGGAAAAAAGAGGTTTTGAATACTTTCATATCACCTCTGGCTAGATCAAATGTGGAAAATCAGCAGCTTTTGGGCTGTGGAGGGCTGCAAACACTGGGGTGCAGGGCAGGGAGACAGCTCAGTGTGACAGTCTAGAGACAAAGGACAGCTTTACCCAAAAGCATATCAGTGGCTGATGCTGCATTCCATGAATGCCTGAAAATCTAGAGTGTATTTCATTGGTCCACCCTTCAAAACAATCTGCAAAATGTTTCTAGTATAATATACCCCTTTAGATACATATGCAAAATATATTTGTCACTTGCAGGGAACTAAACATATTTAAAAATAAATTTAGGACTTGCACTTCAAAGGTAATTAACATATCACTAACATTAATGAGCATATTGGTGCCAGTACTTTGCAGTTAAATAATAACTGTAATGAAGGTGATCACAGGCATGTCAATGCAGAGGTGAAATGTATTAGCCAGAAAATCACTTAAAGATGTTTCTGTGTTCTACCTTCTGTGCACATTACAGGAGCCCTGAGCATGCAGCCACTGCAGCTCAGGGACACCCAGTGCTGAGAAACCACCCACAGTCCTGATGGAGGAAAAACACCTTGATGGGCAAAGGTGAAACAGTGAAAGTCTCCCTCTGCCCCATGGCTGGTTATCAGCCAAAAAGTCCCAGTGTCACCTGGAGCATCCCAGCCAGGAACCTCCTCCAGGGAGCTACTGCTGACAACTCACACAAAATCCCCTCCTCAGGCTGTGCCTCATGAGAAATGAAGACCTTCAATGTAAGAAGACCCTGCAAGTATTTTTTACTTCCTTCACTGCTGTTTTTTTCACACCACAAGTTCTGGACTGTGCAGATGAAGCCATCACTTATGTACCAGGAACATGAAGCTGTGCCCAGCTCTCAACGACTCCAGAACATTTTAAACACTGGGGATACATTCACTGAAGCTGTACCTGGAGGTGACACCAAAGCCTCTCTGTACATCAGGGAACAGCAAAATGGTTCCACTTTTCCACTTGCCACTGACATTATGAGGCCAACATAGTGCACAGGGGTTTCATTACCTACACCAGCACCAGAAATGTTTCCTGACAAAAACAATCATTAGTCTTCTAACTCTTTATTGTTTCCCATGAATTGTCCTGCATGCTTTGGGTTGTTTTTGATAATTCATTAGCTCACAGCAGCACCCAAGAACAGCCTGAAGAGGAACAAAGACACACTTGCAAAGAAATCACTAACTTATACGTATTTTTAAGAGTTTAATTAGCACAGCAAAAGAGTCTAATTAGCATAGTATATCTCATTTCCCTAATTTGGATTTATTTGGAATCTGCATGACAACGAAAGGAAGCACAGGAAAAAGAGAGCACACAGATGAAGTGCACTGCAAATCACACAGCCAGAGGTGTGATAGATGAAATAAAAGATCTAACTGTGAATGAGCTGTTCTGTTTCAGGGGCTCTGGGGAAGTATCCACTTGTGATGTCTAATCCAGACAGACAAAGGAAAGAAGGATCAGCTGTACTTCACTGCCTTTATTTCCACAGTGACAGAAAGGATACACAGCAGTTACATGTGCAGCAAAACCTCAGACAGGAATGAGACAGATGAACAAATCACTTAATGTGTACTTGACTGAAAATCTTGATGGACAGTCTTGGAACTGGCTTAGAAAGAGTCATCTTCTGACTTCATCTCATCTCCAGATAATGATTAAGAGCAGCCAGCTCAGAAGCAAGCATGGATGGACAGAATTGTAACTTTTTAAAGGTTAGTACAGTTAAAAATAGTTATTAACCACAGAAAGAACACAAATCACTCCAATAAAATAATGATGTTCGATATACTCCCTTAGGGGAGAAAACAGCCCATTACAGCTCTTAATTTTGACTCAGCTTTACCAAAGTGCACCTGACACATCACCATAGGGTGTAATTCAATACACTACAAAGAAGCAGCACAGTGGATTTTCAAAACCATTTCCATTATGCCATCAATTTAACAATATTAAATCCAGACCATTTCCCTACCTGCTTGTATTCAGATTCTCTTCCAACCAGTACCTGCAGAACATAACCAACAGGATCTCCCTTCATGGGTGGGACCATTTCCCAGGTAACCTCACAGGAGTTTCCTCCCAGCTGTGTCACTCGAGGGGCTACAATAAAATGAAATGTGTTAATGTTTAATATAAAGACTGCACCAAAATCTTATTTTATGAGCACTGTAATATATACCAGAACATTTTAAAAAGGCTAGAGCACCTCTTACCAGTCAGCTCCTTGAGCTGCTACAAAGGAGGAGTGGATTTAGAGAAAACTTTAAAATCTTAATTGCAGTGCTGTGCACTGATCTTTTCAAAGCAGAAGCCAAGGCACAAACTGCACAGGTATTCATAAAAGCAGCAATTCTGTGAAGTTCTGAGCAAACACCTGTGCCAGTGGAGATGCCTGTGCATCCCTCCCTTGCTACATGCCATTGAAAGAGAGAAATAATATCAAATATTTCATTCAGGAAAAACAGGAGAAGGAATGTGAGAAGAGAAGCTAAAGAATCTTCTGTATTAGAGATGAAGTCCAGCCTGGGAAGCAAAAGGACAGGCATAATTTTCAAGACTTGGACTTGAATATAAATCTGAGCCTGACACCCACTTGATCAGAGCTGCTATTTCTAGCCAGACTTAAGACTAGTGCTCTCACTAGAACTCCAGAGAAATTCAATTTGTCAGCTGTTCCAAGGCTGCTGTCCTTGGCAGGGGCTCTCTCAGCAGCTGAAAGCCAAGGGATGCTGTGCCTTGACCCAGGGCAAGCTCACAGCTCAGTCTAGCAGAGCACAGACAGGGGCAGCACATTTTTATGTACAACAAAGCATCTGCCACTGGGAGGCACGAAGCAAATTGCAACAGCATCCAGGGTTCACCAACCTCTTGATCAGGCAGAGCCAGCAAGCACAATGCCAAAGAAAAAAAAAAGAATAAAGCTGGGAGAAACAAGTGCTGAGCACTTGTATCAGGTGGTTAACATGTGCACGTGCAAGGACATGAGCTTGTTAAAGGCAATCCAGATCCCCAACCCCACAAAAACAGACAACAGGAGGGTCTACCAAAGAAACAAATGCTGCTGCATACATTACACAAATTTTAGACTGATCTGTTACTTCCCAAGAGGAACACTTGAATCATGAAGGCCCAAATGTAATCAATATCCATTTACTTCTCTCTGCACATCTGCTAGTGTTGAGAGACTGATAATAAACGCCTTTATCTTAGCTGACAACAATCTCAATTATTTTTCCTTCTCCTTCCATCTCTCACTTCAATACATGAAGATTTTTGTCTGACAATTACAAAACACTGCCATTAACAACAAAGCTATTCTGGGGTTGGCATCACTAAGAGAGTAATTAGGAGACCTTATAGGAGAACACACACTTTCTTCTGCTAGATAAAAAGGCAAATTAAGTTTATCACATAAATTCCTTTGTATTTCTCTGAGCACAGAAGGGAATCAACACTGCCATGTGGCATCAGACCAGTCCTCCCCATGGCATCACCTCCCCTCAGCAGTGCTCACCAGCACAGCTTCGTCATGTCCTTTTCTCTGTCACAGCCAGTGCTCTGTCAGGTACCTGAGGTCCCAGCCCACACACGACCCTGGTATTTGCACCCTTGATTCTCAGCTTGAAACTCAGCCCAGGGGATGAGTCACACTTAACAGGAACTCAACAGGCAGACTGGGAGTTCAAAACAAACACCTGGGTGAGGTGAACTGAATAAAATGGATTTATAGCCAACAAAATGCAAGTGTTGACTACAGTGGCATCCTGGGTCATGCCACAGGAGCTCCCTTCCCTTGGCTGGGCAGCACATCTCACACCTGTGTGAAGGTGTGCATTGGGATAAATCACCCCTGGCTAAGCATCCTCACCCTCAAACACACAGGGGTTTTTTGCTGGAGAGTGTTTTCTGCCTGGGGGTGACTGACTTAGCAGGGAAAGGCACCCCCAGCAGTGTTCTCCCCTCTACAAATATTTGCTTACAAAAGGTGTCAAAATCACCAAAGCTGGATTTTAAATACAGAGAACCAAACAAAACCTCTCTGACAAACTGACAGTTGTCATTTCTCTCAGAAAATCACAGGGCTTGACAGGGAAGCCTTCAGCACCCAGGAGAAAAGGTGCATTTGATTCCAGCTCAGCGGATCTGACAGCCCATAGAGCAAACCCACTGCCCTTGTAACAGGCCAAAGAAGGACTAATTAGGCCTAGAACAAAAGGCCTAATTACATGAAGTTTTATAATGGAACATCTTTCACTGTGGGCTTTACTTTTGCTCCTTCCCTCCTTCCTTCCTTCCTTCCTCCTCCTCCTCAGGAGCATAATTACTTAGGACAAAATTTACACACAGTAAAAGACACTTCATTATAAAACTTCATTTAATTAGGCCTTTAGCTCTCCTAGTGGAACACATGCTGAGTTTGAAGTCTAATGTTCTATATGTGAAATATCATAATTAATTTTATACATTAAAGGGAAAATAAACCCTGAAGGTCTACACTGGATATCAAATACATAACAAAAAAAATTAAACTTTACTAAAGCTTAAGTTGGTGGGTACACACACACACTACAGCTGTTAGATCCCTTGCATAAATGCTGTGGTAATCCAGAGCAATCCCCTGGTAAACATTATTGATAGCAGCAGCATTTGAACAGTTTTTTATTACAACAGTGACATAACCTTTATGTTGCTTGTGTGATTTTTTTTGGGTGGTAATTTAGCTTCCCACCATTAAGTAACTTCACAACTCAAGAGAAACCTATAGTCAGCACAAAGTGGTTCCTCACAAGTGTTATTACATACCCATGGTAACCCTTACAACCTCCCCTCATACTTACCAATTACATAAATAGTTACAAGTCACTTACACATTAAAAAACCATACTACATACCTTTGATTGCAGGTGGGAGTGACTTAGTTGTGCAGAAGGTACAGATTTCTGAGAAAGGTCCCTCCCCAGCATCATTGACTGCCTGTATTCTGAACGAGTAACAGGTGGATTCTGTCAGCCTCTGTATCTTGTACGTGTGACTTGGTCCCCTATAAATTGGGATAAACCTGAAACAATAAAAATGAGAGTATGTAGTTACACTGGAGTGGCACTGACATCTCTGGTTATTGCACTTACCAGCTTGAAGTATCCACCTTGTGAAAACTGGCACCATGTGCCCTGCAGGGCTGTTAAACACACATATAAAAATGCCCCATTAATAACACACTGATGATGAGGAAGAGGTCAGGGAAAGCAGAAGTTCATTTTTGAAACTACTACTACCTTGCCTGATTGCATGAATTGTCAGGAAGAACATCTGTCAGTGGGCTCCCTACCACCATGGAATCCAAATGGATTCAGCCTGTGTCCTGCTACAATACACCATGTGTGCTGCTGGTTTACATGCATGGTGAAAACACCATTAATATGTTGACTCTTTAATGGATTTTGCACATTAAGATAAAAAGGCCATGTCTTGCAGTCACCTGTGTCATCTTCCAAAACATTTCCATTGACAAGACTAAACAAGAGCACACACAAACTTGTCCAACAATGTAATACTGAACAAAATCAATGTCATTTAAAAATAAAGTATACAGTTGCTAAAAGAATCTGACTTCTATTTTCTATTGCTCTGCTCAGATAAATGCTTTTCACTAACAGTTTTATGCCAGCCAGCAATTTCTAGCTAAGCCCCTGACCCCCAGGAGCTGAGCACAGTGGGGATGAAAGCAAATAAAGAGGAAGCACCCAGACTGTGCATCCATCCACTCAGCCTCCCCAGGGAACATCCTGCATGAAATAGTCCTGGCCTTGGAGAACAGAAAATTTGCTGCGTAGGATCACACACCATTTTTTTATTATTTAGTACCCTAATTCAGGTATCTTAGCCATTTCAGAAGGTTTTAAATCACCAGGAAGCCAAGAGATATTTTCCTTTGACCTCCCTATCTAGGTGCTAGCTTTATCCTTTGGCTTTGCATGAGACACAGAGTACAACCAATTTGAGCATTTCAAAGAAACTGGGTCTGTCATTAGCTCCCAGGGACAGAAATCAATTTGTATTAAGTTATGATTGCAATCCACATAAGTACAAACAGAGATCAAGAACCATTTGTAATAAAAGGGAATATTCAGGTAATTCAAATTGCTGGAAATGTACTCTGAGGACTAATGTGACTTTTAAAACTGAGTTTTAGTGAGACCCACACCTTGACAGGAAACTAAAGATCTGTGCACACATGTTTTTAAGAGGAGAATTTAGAGCCAATTTCCAAAGATTTGTTTTCCTAACCTTATGCTTACCCAGTGTAAGAACTCCCTGCTATCTCACATTTCTGAGGCTCATGTAAGCAGCCACAGCACATTTCAAAAGACTGACACAAACCTGTGCTCATGGAATAACGTTTGAGATTCACTGGGTGATGAGCAATGAACACATACTCAGGACAGCATTAAGACTCAAGAGACAAGATACTCTCCTTCTGCACTTCTTGCAGCTCAATCAGCCAGTTTCTGGCTCAAAAACCACTGCACTACTCACAGGAGTGTAGAGATTTGGCTCTGACCCTGATCCAAGGGCAGCAGAGAACAAAAAAGATCCAATGCCTATTTTAGACTAATGATCTCTTTGCAATCATTTGTGGAGTAAGGTGAGCAAGAGAGGATAAGTCTATCTTCCCAGCTAACAGACAAGCACACCTCACCCCAGGTTGGGCCTAAGGTACATTTACACATTCACAGTCATTCATATGACCAATACCAATGACTCAAATGACATTTGCACCTTTTGGATATGACTAAGGTCACTAACACTTCCTAACACTGAGGAACTGATCTGGAAAAACATTTGAGCTCTTTCTGTCATTTGGGAACTGGACTAATACTCCCAGTTCAGTTAATACCAGTACTCCCATCCAGTTCCCATCTCCACTCATTTCTACTTCTCTGTCTCTAAAAAGATCTGCCAGGAAAGCAAGAACTGTCACAGAGAAGTTTGCACCACAGGACTGCAATGGAAGCACATTTAAAACTTCTGAGATTTGACCATCTCTGAAGAAAGAGGGCTTCCAATTTTCCAAGAAGAAACACTGATGGCTAAGCCAAATTCAGTTGCTGTTGGACTTTACTGTGACACCAATGCTTTGTAATTGTGTTTGAAGATGCAGATCATGATGTAAGGCATGTAATGAAGATGAAAGACTAACTTCAAAATGCTTGTTATTTTTTGATAAGGTAGTATTTTCCTCATGTGTAAAGTAGGCATTTTATAATCCTCCAGGATTATTTTTGTTATTTATAAAAATATTGTAGTTAATTGATGTAGGTGGTTATAGATATGGAACAGTCTTTTTTCACTCTCCTGGACTTTTTCTGGAGGACCACAATGAACTCAAAATTGAGTCAATCAATGTAACTGCCCATTGCTACTGTGAGGCAGCATGCATTAAAATTATCCTAACTAAGGTAACATCTTCATATTATTGCAATTTCATTTTTAAAATATAAATCTACTTTAAAAAGCACATTTGAACATGAGTTCTATGTACCTCTGCCTTCTTGGCAAGCCTGCTATTGCTCACTGTGCTTCATCCAGGCATCATTCCATACAGTGCCTCAAGAATAAGTCAGCTCTGAGCCTGTTTGCAAAGACTTAATCTCTTATGCATTGAAATGTTGACTTAATCTGTGTATGGAAACCTTCCCTGTGCTCCATCTCCTTCTCATCTTCTTCAAAACAAGACATTTTCAAATCTCAGTTGAATTCAAAAGACAATAGGCTACATACTCAACAGGCACCCTGCCTTTGAAAACATTCAGCTTCTCTGGTTACTGGCATTCTCAACACAGCTGAATTTTTTCTTTTAAGTTTGCACACTCCACAATTAAACCTGATTTATTCTAATTTTTCAGGCTGTAGTGTTGCCTCTCCTCTCCACTAAATTAACAGCAGAGACCAAAAAGAAAGCAACTTTCTCCAGGGATGGGGGCAGTCCCTAGAGGTTACCTCTCCCTCATCTCACAGAGTGATCCCAATTCTCCCTTCCCAGACATTCTCACTTTATTATTCATTTACCTGCACACAGCAGAGGAGAGAGAACATCGTGTCCTACAGCAATTGTTAGGGAGACACCACTGCTGTTAGTTTTTCATCAATACCCTTTTATTCCCAGTGAAGATCTTCTTGGAAGTATTTTGCATCTCACAGCTATTTTGTTTCCTCCACTTCAGTCACTTCCAGTCAAGCAGAAGAATATCAATGTACTTGCTCTACCTCTGCTCATTAATTCCCAGCACATTTTGAGCAGCAGGTTCCCTTTCAAACTCTTGGGTTTTGTTGATATTTTGGTAACCTGTTGGTTCTTGCAAGAATCTAATTTGAAAGAAATTCTACTGTACAGCACTAAGTAAGATGGCAATCTTGGGGGAAGGCACAAAGGCTGAGTGAACCTTGAATGATTCTGTTATTGCCTCTTAAAATATGTGGTCAGATGTCAGGATTTTGGCTGGAGAGAAATCATTAACACAGCAGCATTAACACACAGTCCAACCTGGTGACCTGAGGCTTCACAGCAGCACACAAAGGCAACTGCCTAATTAGAAACTAAATGACAAGAATTTCACAAACCAACAGCTCTTTTAATATTGTTAATGCTACATCACGTTATCTACACATTTACTGCCCCCACCTACTTTCTTAGACTGTTCCTCTAATTTGGTTGCAGAACATTATCAGACACTCACTGATTTATGTGATTTTCTCTCTCCACCAGCAGCTCTCTGTACTGTGGCAACAAGGAAAGCAAAGCTTCAAACCAAAAAACCACCTAATTCAGAGATGCAGAAGTGAAGTCAACATTTTTTTTTTTTTCACTTCTGCTGTATTTTAAAACATTCTGCTCAAAGGGAAAAGTTTCCCATCTGCAGCATCTCTCATCCCCACATCCATCACTGTTCCTACAACCAGTTCCAGGGTGACCCAACCTTTTCAGCTTTGGGGCACTTTTCCAAGCCATTCTTTGGGATCTCCTTTTGCAGGCAGGTGCTGAGCGAAAGTAAACATAAAACAAGAGCTCTCCAAAAGAGATTTATGCTCCCACAACCTCTCCCAACTCTGTCTTCCAGTCCTAAAATGAGGTGTGGACCAAACAGGTGGGATGCACTGGGCCCTTTGACCTGAAGATCTGTTTTCTGGAAGATTCCTTTTGGGAAGTTTTATTTATAATACATATTATATATTTTAGTTGTGTTATAATGTATGCTCACCACTACTGATAAAATTTTTGGCGTTTTCAATAATAATAGTAACATCAGGGCCCAGTGAAGAAAACAGTTCCTTCCTTATACTTCAAAAAGCAAAACTAAGTGAAGAACAGATAAAGGCAGGAAGAGAAGTGATAACAGATGGGAAGAGTTTGGTTTTCTTCCCTGAGTTATCTACCACATCTGCAGGCTAGACAAAGGGTATTTGCTGCCAAAAATCGATTTTTAGCCTGTTTCTACTAGATTATCTTTCATCTGCTGCTGAATTTGAGTTTGTAACCCATATTCACAACAGACACTCACTTGTCAGACATCTGGAATTACTGAGAGTTGAAGTATTTCAGCCTACAGGAGCTCCTCCACAACAAGAAAAATTGATTTTTTTGCAAGAAGCATCTGGGCACATTCAACAGGAATGGAAGACAGAGCAGCCAAGTGCCTGACTGAAGATTGCTGTGTGCAGCCACATCTGGGGGGCAAGGAACAGGCAGGGAGGGCAATACTGAGCACAGCTTAAATGGGAATTAACAGCACCTGAATGGAAGATGTGGGAGAAATCAGGGAGAGCACCCAATGGCCACTTGAAATTACACAGTCAGGAAGAACTGATAAGGCAGATACAACACCTGGTCAATAATCAACAATAATAAGTAAGAGTGAACTTAAAACCAAAAGAGAGCAGAGTTCAGAGCAGCAAACCAATATTCTTACAGCCCTGCATGTGTTTATCTTCCCTGTGCAGCATCAGAGCCCCTTTCCCAGAGTTTTAACAGAGTTTATGGGCCCTGAAATGATGCCCACTGAGCACATGGGGCCCAGGCTGCTGCTGTGACAGCCCCAGGAACCTGGGCAGAGCTGGAGAAGGGAGCCAAGCTCAGCCTCTGCTTCACCAACATCAGCAAAGCAAAGCTGGAACCTAAAAATGTGCCCCTGGAAAACTGGCCAGTGTGATCCTGCTGCACTAAGCTGAGCCTCCATTGCACTTTAGAGATTAAATATGAGAGTCATTACTGCAATCAAGGTGTTGTTTTTCTTATAAGGTTGTTACAGATGTGCAGAAAATGGTTTTTATTACAGTGACAATCTTGGGTCTAGATGCTGCTTTTATTTATGATTTGCTGTCTGGAATATTCAGTTACCCATCAAGTCTGAAGTACCTGCAGATGTGCACAGATCAAAATAAAGGAGAAAATTTTATTTCTTACCAAAGCAGCGATTTTTTGAATATACTCATGGAGCAGCATCTTACTCTGTGTCTTGCCAGCTTCCTCACAGCTGAAGCACCTCATCTCACACATTTAATGTGGTTTTTTGAGGCTTCACTTTGTTCCAAATAATGACACACATACATTTAACTCACACCTACTACAACTGCTGGTTCACTCCTGCTTCCAGGAAGAAAGATGAAATGCATTAAAAAGTTACTCTCTCACACTTGGGAACAGTTCTCCCTCTTCTTTTTCATTTCCAAAGCCCCAGGTATCTGATCAGAATGCTGCTAATATAAATATCACTATTTTTAATGGCAATACTCACCTACAAAAAATGCAGCAATATGAACACAGGCTAGCTTGAAAACTTTCCTGAACATTAACTTTCTATCTAGCCAGGCCTGCAGTGCAAACTGTAGCATGCCATCTGTCTTGGTGCTCATGCCTAATTTCCTTTTATCACTGTTTTACCCAATATGAAAATTATTTTTTCCTGCAGGTTTTTGCAAGGATACGTTAACTTATCTGATTTTGTATTTTAATAGAATTTCACAAGCCAGTAGGACTGATACATAGCAGTAATTGCTGTTAAAATGGGTGTAAATTGTCTTGATCAAATCAAGAGCGTAAACAATTTTTTAATTAGACTGCTTGAAACTTGCAGTAACCAGGGGATGATTATGCAAAAGTCATCAGGCAAGGGCAGCACATTCAGCAACTCATCCCTCCGTGTTTCTATTCTGCCTTCAAGTCACAGCAGAGCAAACACCCAGGTTGAGGCTCATATATTAAACCACTCCTTGCTACCACCAACTGAAGACAACAGAAGTGTGGGGCAATTGTCAATGATCCTCACATTATGTTTTTAAAGAATATGTTGAGGATGTTTCTTAGTCAACCTTACCAATGACTCTCCCTTAAAATGTAATTACATGTGTATATATTGATTGTGATTCTCTACACACACAAAAACCACACAATTTGCCTCAGCTGCAACGTACAGTCATCTAAAATGAACACAAGCAACTGGTAAATGACCCACTCTTAATTTACTCGCTAATTCTCCCTTTCAGACTGGATATTGTGAACATTTTAAGACACTAAGAGGTGCAATTAGTTGTGGGAACAGCTAAAGATTAATTACAGTACAGCAGGAAGAAAATAAAAAACATTAATTAAGTTCACTTGTTCCACAGAGGAAAAAATCCATAGTATTCTGGAAAGTAGTGCAATTTGATTAACATAAATTTCTTGACATTACCACAATTAGAAAATGAAGTCACAACTGCTAGTTTATTTAAAAAAGAAAGGAATTTCATAGTCCTCCTTACATAAAGGTCACTTACTCTCAACTAACGTTTCTATGTACTGAGCTTTCCAGAAACAGATTTTTCTTCATTTCCACTCAGTGCTACCCATAATTGAAAGGACAAGTGATGCTAATTTCATCTTCCTAAATGTCACACCCCGAAGAGCTAATGGGAGCTAACGCAGGTACATCTCTGATGTGCACACCTCCTCAAGCCCTTACACTAATCAGTGCCACAAGATTTCCAAGTATTTTGCTTCACAGGTCCTGCAATCAATGAAACATTTGGTCTCCAACAACTGGCCTGTTACACCTCATTACAGAAAGGAAAAGTTGAAAACACTCCTTAATGACCAGGACACACTGGAGAGCACTGGCTGTCATTACATAAAGCCAGAGCTGAGTCTTTACAAAAGGCCATTAAAGCTATTGGGTCAGGATGGGACTTGATTTTTCCTTTTCTTAAAAGAACTCCCTCATCTTTATATTTCTGCTTGTGAAAATACTTCAACAGCATTTTAAAGGTAACTTCCATTTTAAACCAAAGAAGGGACAATCATAACACTGAACTGAGGGATTCCAATATAAAGCTGTTATCAGTAATTTCAGATGTCTCAGGGAATACAGTAATCATGTTCTCTGAAATACCAGGGATACAACAGAGGTCATTCTCAGTTATCCATATTTTAAACCACAGCCTCTTTCCCTCAATCAAGTACTATCTCTTCTCCCACCAGAGGGAACACCATGGCACCTTCTTACAACTCTTTCAAACCATAAAATACTCCAAAACATCATTCCAGATCATTTATTCTGTGTCATTTTTTCACCAGAGACTGGCTTGCTAGAGGGCTGGTCAGTCCCAGGCCTGTCAGTGATTCAGAGGCATTTGGACAATGCCCTTTAACTTGGCCAGCACTGAACTGGCCAGGCACTCACACTGCATGACTGCAGGTCCCTTCCAGCTAAAATATCCCATTTAATTGCTCCCTCACATGTGCACAGTTTACTGCACAATTGGAGATGTGATGCTCAAAGAGCTGTTTCCAGCATTTTCCACAATCACACAGAGGGGTGAGCAACCCCTCAGTCTCAGCAGGGTTTGTTTAATGGGAATGATCTCAGAGAGGACTCCTACCTCTGTAAGCACCTGCTGCCCTTACCAGCTCCTGCATGGTCCTTCCCCTCTCTGCCCAGCAGGGATGACAGCTCTCCTGGATGTACAGAACTGCACCTTGCAGGGCCATCTCTCACTGTGATCCATGCACACAATGGAAAGCAAAAAGAGACTGCCAGACAGGGATCAAATACACAGATCTTATGGCCAGGACCTGCCAGCTCCAGCTGCTCTCAAACACAACAGTGCACCCATCCCACTCCTCTGCCATGCCCACGGCCCAGCCCTGGCTCATTTCAGGAATTATCTGAGCTAACTGCTCCAAACCCAACCACCAAAGGGAGCCTTTCCATGGAATGGCTCAGTTCAGGCAGGAGACAGCACAACGTAGAGGAGCAGCTTCTCTGCATCTCTGGGAGCTCATGCAGACTCTTAAGTCAAATCCACAGCTAGGAAGATCCAGCAGAGTATCAAGTCCAAATGGCTCCCAATTAAAAACTCATAAGAGACCATTTGCAGTGGGAAAAGCTTGTGCAAAAGCAGAGGATCATGCTAAAGCTGTGTGCCAAAGCAAGGGAGAAAAATCCCTCCCTTGCCTGCTGCGAGGTAACACTTTATTCTTACAAGGCAACTTCCTATTTTCCTGGGTATAAAGACAGGTTAAAAACAATTTACAGCTCTTCACCCTCCTACCTGCAGTGGTACATGAAAGCAAAGCAAAGCAGCCTTTGTGTCTTCAGAGCTGCCTGAATCCCAGGGTGCTGCAGGTGATGGGCTCCTGCCAAGCATCACTGCACTCTGAGGGAGCTGCTTGCAGCAGCCAGACTTTCAAATGGGGATTTATATTCATTGGACACCTCTCAGGATTAATACAGTGTACCCTCTCTGCAGCAGTACAGTGGCGATACTGGGAGGTGTTAAGGCATTATTCATGGTGGGTTTATTACTTAAAATTAGAGCTTTTGGGCCAGATCTTCAGCTGGCATAAACTCAGCACAGCTCCATTTAAATGAAAGGAATTGTGCTAATTTACAGCAAATTATGATCTGTGCTGAAGGTCTCTAAGGATTATCTACTCGATAAGTCACTTATTTTAGCTAATTGAAGTAGTTGAGAGTGTTTCTTAGTAAATTATGAACCATCTATGATATTTATTCATTGAAGAGCTCAGACTGTTAGGCATAACTTGCGTATTGTCTTTCTTCCCTTCCCTTTTGTAAATGAATATATCTCATCACAACTTTGGATCTACATTAGCAAATCTTCCCATACAAAGCTCACATGGGAAGATAAGTTTTTGCTTAGCACTGACTCTTTAATTTAAACACAGATATTTGTTTCTTGCACACCTTATTTCAAAATTATTGTGGAGCTACCAAGCTGATGCCAAGCTTGTATTTTCTAATGCTGTAAAACATTACAGCTATAAAATGAAGACCACCAGCTTGCCCAAAAAACATTGTTCTGCTCAGTTTTACCTTACCTAGACATCTGATTTGTAACCCTTGGCTAATGAATACACACAACAAGCTGGGTGTATCTTTACAGTAGTAAAGCAGTATCTTTATTTCATATACCCCAAAAGGTAAAGCACTGTGGCCACGAAACTTGATTTTAAATTTACTGGCAGAGAGGCAAGGGTTTTGCTGAAATGTCACCAGCACAGGATTGATTTCTGTTAGACCTGCCAGTGTTAGGTTAATGGTTGGACCCACCAATTTAGAGGTTTTTTCCAACCTTAATGATTCCATGATTCTTTATCACTCTCAGCTTTACTGCATAACTTGCTCAGACTACAGGCACAGGAAGCCTATTAAAACAGTATTTCGTACAAACTGGTAGGCACAAAGCAATCAGGAAAACAGAGTTTTTCTTTCACTCACGACAGCGTTATGATGAACCAGAATTTTTTTTCATTGGCACAAGGCAAAGATTCATCTCTCTTACCTTTTATTTCTGTCCTCTATCTGCAAGATGTAGACCATGTCATCAGCAGAGTGGAGCTTGGAGCTGCTGTCTCCCCACTTCAGCTTCAGGCTCTGAGGCCCTGCTGCAGCACACTCCAGCCGTGGAGGTAAGGGTGGCAATGGCCTGGTTTTTGCTTTAATAAAGTGGCTAAAAGGTCCAGCTCCAATCTCATTGACAGCCTGGATCCTGATCCTAAAATGAACAGCAAGAAGATGAATGTTAAATGAAGTGTTTTCACGAGGTTCTTGATATGAACACGTGCCAAGGGGCAAGAGAGCTTTTGGGGGCTGCCTGCCCCATCCCTGCCCACCCAGCAGCCAGGGCTGTTTGTGGTATAGTGGAAGGCTCTGCCAGCACAACAAAGATCACCCTGTTTACACTGTAAGAGGTGCAGTGAAGATGTCAGAAATGCAGAGGCAGAAGGCAAGGTTTGGGTCTCAGGATCTGGTGACAGCTCCTTCAGCCACAGGGACAAGGGGCAGCAGCACAGGACAAGCACAGCCTGGAAAATGTGAAGTGCCCAACCACGAGTAAATAAAATGCAAAAGTCTGTTCTGGTTGTCTAACAGAGATCATGGACTAATTGAGGTGAAATCATTCAGGGGAAGCACTGGTGTCACTGCCATGAAACCCATCCCCATGCTGGCAAACACCCTGAAGCCCAGAGCAGTGCTCTCTCAGTCTCACAAAGCACACTACTTAAGCACAGGAAACTCTGCTGGGAGGAACTAATGATGGAGGTTAAATTCACAAACCTCCTACACACTGCCACAAAGTGCAGAAATGTTAACTGCCACTGAACCATCCATTAGATCAAATAAATGCTGGACCCAAGTCACCCTCCCAAGATGCACAAAGGCCCTCGAGCCATTTGAGGACATCAAGAAGAAAAGCAGAGCACTTGCCTGGTCACAGCAGCTTGAATTTGGAAATGTTCTTAAGACTGAGCCAGTCTTCTAAATTCTATTTCTTTCTTAAGATAATGACTCCTGACTACTGCTTTGTTAATTTTCTCTTACCTGTCTGCACCTCAGTCTAACACTGAGATGAGTGAGGAGTAGCAGTCTCTGACTATGGTAACATCAACAGCACCATAACAAAAAGTAGAAATTTGTATTTCCAAACAGTTTTGAGGATTTTGTAAACACAAATATTGGTACAGATGGGCCTGCAAGGTTTCAGAAGTTGGTTAATCAAAGACTAACTATGAGAAATCAGGATGGAGAAAACTAATTAAGTTTAAAATAGTTCAGCCCAGTTGAGTTAGCTGGAGAGATGCCATTTACTTTGGAAATCCTGTGCACAGCAGCCTTGTATTTTCTCATGGGTAAAGACTCTTTACCAGAACTGTCTTTGCTTGGCAAAGATACTTATTTTGACTGAAGAACACAAAATTATGCAAGTTCACACACACATATGAAAAATTACTTTGCTTTTAACAGCAATTTTTCAGCTCTACCATCAGGAAAAAAAGTATGTTAAAGGGATAGGGAGAAAACTCTCCAGAGAGTATTCCCCATTCGAAAAAAAACCCCAAAACTGTATTTTCTGCCTTTCAAGAACATAAAAGGTTACACTGTTAATAAACATATTGTAAAATAATGAAGTCTGATCTATTGGTTAGTCAGCTAAAGCCACTGCACACTGAGAATGCACTGTGTATGCAGTCATATGCAAATGTGTGCTTAAAACTCTGCTTATTGACCCAGCCATTAACAGGGGTAACATATTGCTGGGTGTGGAGCTGCATTTTCCCTTTAACCTTCCTTCTGGCTTCAGGAAATGCATCCTGACCACCTTAAATCACCACATTCCTTCTCTTTCTCCCTAAGGGTGGATGGCACAAAGATCTAGTGGGAGCCTCCCCTTCAACTTAATATAAGCATTGATCTTACTTCACATTATGCTACCATTTCGCTTTACATTTAAGAGTCATTACATCAATATTTAATGGTATTTCCAATAAAAAAAATAGAGCCTGCCTGTATTTTCACTGGATTCTAGCAAGCTCACATTAGCATGTGCACATAAACAGTAACAGCTATATCACAAGATGGTACTACTGCTTTTGTAGATTGATTAGAACAGCATGCTCTAGAGTATATATCCTTTTGTTTTGCTTGGTATTACTTAAAGTCCCAGTAACAACAAAGCCTCTCCTCAAGCACTCAGCTGGTTTCCAACTGGCAGCTACCACACCTGAAAACACTCAGTGAGATGAATCTCTCTCCAATATCACACTTTTTAGATGCATGCATGCACAGAAACCTGCACTTCCTTGTCTTGCTTTTGCCAGGTATTTGCACAAAGCAAAAATGTGTCTCCTCATGAATTTCTTTCCTTGCCTTCCTCTGCTGCACAGAGTTCTTGCTCCCCCCTTGTGACACACACAAATATGCACACACACACACTCCCCTCCTGACTCTCATCACTGTAAGACTGATGGAAACTCTTAAGCCTTAAAATAGAGACAGGCATCTTTACAAACGAGCGATGACACTGGGAAAGCAGGAATTGATTTATTTGACTCTATCATGGCTGATGTGGCCACTCTTTGCTGCTGATTGCACCACCATAAAGCTCTGTAAATTGCCACTATCATTCCCAGGGCCTGAGCTTCATCAGACACACACAAACAACTAATTTTGTGTTTCCTGTGCACATGGCAGTGCAAACCCAAACCCTGGTGCCACCTCCCTCTGAACCCCAGCAGCGTCTGCTCCATGGGGATCAGGAAGTCCAAAGGGAAGGGGAGAAGGAAGAAGGGAAGCAGAAAAGGAGAAAGGACCACGTGGAGAAGGGGGAAGAGCAGATGTTGGTGGGAGAGCACCTGGTACTGCACCATCTCTGCTCCTGCTCAGGTGCTTTTCAGTGTCCCTGCCCCAGCCTGTGACAGTGAGCTTTGCCAGCTGGGTGGCACAGCCAGGGTGGGCAAGAGAGCATCCAGAGTTAACTGGAAACCAATTCCTGTTTACAGAACTGGTACTGGGAAAAATCAACTCTATTTTCATGTGAAAGTATAGCATAGACAAGTAGAAATATTTGCAGCAAAAGCACTTCCTGAATTCCTTTCAACTCTTCCACTAATGGTTTCTAAGTGAAAATACCCCAAACATCCTCTTGGAAAGAAAGATTGTTAAACCATCTGACAATCACAATTTGACAACAGGTTTTTTGAAAATGTAAAGACTGTATTTAAGAATATGTCTAATTCTGTAGACCCTGGACCAATAATATTTGTATTCATTCTCACATTTTTCCACTACAACATTTAAACATTTAGAACGAAAAATCATAAATCAGACTAGGCAAATTTAGAAACCATGAAATGATATTTAACAGACCATTCTCTCTTAAGAGATTCTTGATCCAGGAAAATAAACACACTAAACAGGATGCTATTTTCAGATTGGTCACAAAATCCTTTGTATAGTATTCCAACAAACTGGAAAATCAACTTTTGAATTAACTTTACAGTCTGACATGAGAAGACTTTGATTCCCTGGTTCCCATAAGAGGAATGCCACCAGTTGCAATACACTGGAAACCTGTGGGAGTTAAAAGGCCATGGACTTCCAAAGAGGAGGGGAAGCAGCATCCTCCACCACCAGCAGCAGCCTGGACATGATGAAGAGCAATCACACACTGCCCCACAAATCCCCACTCAAACTCCTGGAAGAAGACTTAGCTTGACACTCTGAAATATATTTTGTTTTATAGCCTGCTTAAACTTTGCTAATTTGAGCATCCACATGAATTTTCCCCTCCATCTTGGATGATCTTTCAGAATTCACAGAATGACTAAGTTGGAAGAGACCTTCAAGACTGAGTCCAACACAACTTTCACTTGATACAGTTTAAAAATCTAAAATATTTATAGAATTTTTATTCCTAAACCAAATTAAGTGTTGCTATTGAAATTTAATAATGCTACTATATATTTCTGTACACTGTGTAACTTCAGAGGAGAAACATTCTTAAAAATTGGAAGTTGTTTTGCAGCGAAGTATCTCAACAGCAGAACACAATTATCTATGGAATGTGTTAAGCGAAGCTTGGGAACAGACTGTAATAGAAAATTGGTGTTTCTGTGACTGTTGAATACTTATTTATTGTGGAATATTTATTAACTCACTCCTAGTTACATCAGCTCGCAGAAAACCAGGCCAAGTATATTACCCTATAATCTGAGTTTCCAGAGCTTCGTGGCTGTGTCATTAAAGCAGAGGGACTGCAGAACTCAGACATATTTCTGCAGCTGCTCACCAGCCAGGATGTTTACACAGCGCTCTGGGGAGGCATCTGCTCCGTGCAGCAGCAGAGCTGGGCTGGGTCTGAGCAGGGATTCTCTGACTCAGCCCTACCATGGCCACTCGCAGTGTGGCAGAGGCATCTTCCACCTCCTCCTGCCTTAAATCCATTTTGGGATGGAAATGCTTCTCATGGGGTGCTGGCTGGATTTGCTGCTAGGACACAAAGCATCCAGCCTGTGAGCTTGGAGCCCAGCTCTGCCTGGAGTTCCCCTGTGTGCTCTTGGGCTGCTCCTGTTATGGCCATTCCCACATGGAACCTGGAGGCAAAGCAGTGCCAGACCCAAGCTAACAGGGTGGGCCCACATGGCCAGGCTTTCACAATCACCCCCTATCCAAAACAATTTAAAATCCCAATTTTGGACTTGCTGGATTCATAATAATCAAGATTTGCTTTCAATTTTGGTTTCCCACAACCAAAAAACTTTGATACTGGAATTCTAACTCAACTGAAACATATAAACCCTTTGCTGATTTACTTCAAATTCTGCTGAAATTTTGGCAAGGGAGTTCAGAGCCTCCAACCCAGTAGTACTTGGCTTGTTTAGTCTAGGAAAAATATGTTCACTGTGTTTTTAAACACAGCAGGGAATAAACACTTGAGAGGGAGAAGAGTAAGTTGTGTTAGACAAAACTGACACAAAAAGAAGACTCATCAGTGGAGAAATGTAGAGAATGAGATCAGTGATGTTCTGAAACATTCCTCTGATTCAGCCAGGGAGGGTAGAAAATGCCCCAACATTTAGCACAAAGCCTGATAATCCTTAAGGATTTATCAGGGCAGACAGTGTCTGATCAAAGACAGGTGTCAAGATATGCCTGAAGAAGAAATATCAGTGAACAAGTTAATGATCAAAACACTTTGACAAATCTATTTTTGATTAGCAAAATAATACTTCAAACTATTGATGAGGTGCATTTGCAATCCAACTGCAGTCACTTGTCTTCCCTTACAGGAATGAGATGTAAGATCTGGGGTTTCTTTTTCTGATCTTGTTCAACAAAAGAGCTTTCCTACATTCTTACTTCTGATCAGCCACCCACTGGTCTGTGTTCTTCAAGTGGGTTTTTTTTAGTAGGAACTTAGTCTTACAACAATATTTAGAACAGTTAATGCTTGTGGCTTTGGCTGTTTCATTTGGACCAGAGACAGGACGAATCCTTGACTAAAACTATGTGATTTAATATGGTGCGTTTTACAAAATAATGAAACAAGAATGCAAAAAGTATCAATCCAATCTCTGTTTCCAAGCCTCGAAGAAGACATTTTCCTTAAGAAAGCTGTAGACAATCAGAGAACCAGCTAAAAAAGAGACTGAAATAAGACTTTGGTGAAGAATTTAAATGCACACATTCTGTCTTGAGTGAGTTGCTCAAAGTTCCCTTTTCAGCTTTTTTGGGTCTTGGTTGAACAAACATTTCAGGAGAAGCCAGGGAATATGAGACTGCCCAAAGGTGATGCATTCCACAGCTGGGTGACCAATCCATAAACAAACTCTTCAACTTTATATGAATGATCTGTGAGCAAGCAATGTGTGCTCCTCACTTTAAGTAACTTCTAGTGTATGTATTTGTATCCTTGCTACAACAAGTTCTTTCTTTGGTACAGGATAAAATTTGAATTATGAACTTCTAATTTACAAGATCTGTAGGACTGTGACCTTGAATACAAAGTTAAAAGAAAGAAAAATGCTACAGGAAGTCTGTGACATCTAATTTTACAACTCTGTGATCAAATTTTGGTCTTTATTAGAACAGTACTTAGAATAGAATTTCTTTTGTCACATATTCTGTTGTATTGCTGTTCATTGCCTGCATGGAACCATTTTTCTTTCTTAATTAGCAATTAGGGAGAAAACATATAAGCCTGAACATTAAACTAATAAAATTTTGGCAATGCCACTTAGCAATTTAGACTCTGAAGCAATATAAATTGGTTTTAAATTCAGATCATGTTTTCATTAATCTCCATATAGCAGAGACAAAAAATAGCTGTAGCTGTACAAATAAAAGTGTGAAAATTGCTAACCCTGCTCAGGCATCAATAACTTAATAATTTAATCCCTTGGAACAGTACTTCAAAGGAGCTGAAAAAACATGAGATGTAACACTGTCATTTTAATTATTTCTTATCTTTAAAATTTATTTATTTTAAGATGTATTATTACCAGTGTAAACTTACCTTAGCAGAGCAACTCAAAAAGGAGGAGAGGTCAGAGATAATGCAAGGAGAGGAGGAAAGAGGAAAAAAGGCGGGAGAAAGCAATATTTGAACATGAACTTGCAGTTCCATCAAGGAATGACTGCAGATTTCTGTGCTCCTAGGTTGGTTGTTTGGGTTGCTGGTTGGCATTTTCACCCCTCTCCATGGCAGGAGCATCTCCTGAGTGAAGCAGAGCTGTGCCCAGCACTCACCGGTACGAGGTCTCGGGCAGCAAGCCCTCGATGACGTGGCTGGTCACGTTGCCCACGCGGATGCTGACATCTCCCAGGTCGATGTTGTAGGATGTGATCTCAGCCCCATTGTTGCTGGGCTCCTCCCAGCTCAGCACAAGGCACACGGAGGGTGAGGGCTGGCAGGCAGCCCCGCGCTCGTCCTCCAGCACGGACAGCGTGGAGACGGCGCCAGGCACGGCCGCGGGGGTTCTGCAGGTCACCAGCTCGCTGCAGGGCCCAGCTCCAGCCTGGTTAATGGCCTGGAGGGAAACAAAGAGCATTTACCAGTGCTCTCCTTCACATCTGGATCAAGTTCATCATGATGGATGTGCTGGAAGAGCTGCATGAATCGTTCAGAGGATGTGCACTGCTGGCTTCCTCTCTGAAGCTGACTCATACCTCTGCTATCCTAGGGAATTAGTATCTTCCTTGGTCACTCAGGAATGCCTCAGAAAAACTGGAGAATACATCTCTTTTCCCTAACAGAATATTTCTCTTTCCCTTTTCATCAGTGGCAAACTTTGGTTGGTAAGGGAAAAAGTCATAGTCATGCTGCCAGTGACAGGTGACATCAAAATTACTGGCTATCCAAAATTACTGAGACAGCCAGTACAAAGTCCCCAGCATACTGCAGGACAACCCAACAGATGCTTTATGCAAGCAAAATATCTCTAAAGATAGGGGATATTTGGCTTGTTTAAAACTACCCTGGTTCCTAATTTGGTTCCTAGTTTTCCTTGAAAAATGTCACAGTCATGCTGCCAAGTGACAGGTGACATAGCAAACTGGCTACCCAAAATTACTGAGACACCCAGCACAAAGTCCCCAGCATACTGCAGGGTGGCCCAACAGATGCTTTATGCAAGCAAAATATCTCTAAAGATAGGGGATATTTGGCTTGTTAAAAACTACCCTGGTTCCTGATTTGGAAAATGGATTACTAATTTAATGCTAAAAAGCTTCTGAAATAAGAATATAGGACCTCAGCACGGCATTAAGCCTATGACTCAACATTTCCCCAGAATCACAAAATCATTACAGTCGGAAAAGTCATAATTCACCACCAAACCACAACCAAAGCACACATCTCAGTATATCTCACCAAAGAGGAGAGCAATAATTTATCAAGCTTCTCATCCTAAGCCATAGATCCTGAATCCCAGAGGAAACAAAGTTTCAAAACCTGGCCCCTTTCTGCTCATTAATTAGAGGCTGCTGTCTCAGCAAGCCCAACAGTGCACAGCTGCACAGGCCTGGGGTTTTATCAGCTAGCTGATGCTCAGCCAGTGGCAAGAGCTGTTCCCACTGCACTGGAATTGCCCAGGGAATGACTGATGTTACCTCCTCAGGGTTACCACAAACTCAATCACAGAACCACACAGGCTGGAAGGGACTGTGGGACTCATCTTGTCCAACCTGCCACTCCAGCCAGGGTCAGACAATGCAGACCAGGTTGCTCAGGCTTTTTTTTCCAGTTGGGTGTTGAAAAATTCCAGGTATGTAGATTGCACAGCCCCTCTGGACCACTGTTAGATCCTTAATAGCCTGCACGGTGATATTTTTTTTTCTTTGTATCTCATCTGAACATCCCTATTTTAACCCATTTCAGCTGGATGCGGCACTCCAGGTTATCAGAATGGCATGAAATGGGCAACACCACCTACCCTGGATCTGCCTGCTGAACTCCTGCATCCTGCCAGCACACAAGGTATGGGGAGAGCTTACAGAACATGGTACAGGAGAAGCTACATAAGTCCACAAGGCACAGACCTCATAAAAAAGCTTCAGCGCTGCCCAGCACCCTCCAAATTTCCTTTCCATTTGGAAAAGTTAGCCCAGACTCTCCCATCAGGTTACAATTAATTGAAAAAGCCTTACCATGCTGCCAGCAGGACTCTGAGGGCAATGACAGGACACATCAAACAACTGTTTGATTTCTAATCTATGCTTAACTGCAGTGAATAACTTATTTCTGCTCTGCATAATACAAACACAAAGCCATGTTCTGTTTTTCCAGGAGACATTTTGTTCAACTGAAGAAAGAGATAATAAAGTTACATTTGTCAGCCTTTAAAAAGCCCTTCAAAACAAATCCTGCTCCAGGGAAATCGTCTATTTAATGCAGCACTCCTGGAGCTGTTAGAAGTGAGCCCTGTTTTGTGCTCTGCCAATGACATGATTTGTCTTGCCTCTAAACCAGTGTTTGGTCATTTGTATCTCGCTCCAAGCAATTTATTGTCAGTGGTGTTTTTTAACTGCTTTATTGGACAATCTCATCACCATAACTGATGGGGCTTTGCTGCCTAGCTGCCTTCCCCTGCCACCCCCAAGTGACACAATATTTCCCTCTGCAGAAGCCACTATTGTTTTCAGGAATATTCATTACAGGAAAAAAGCTGAGCAACAGTTAAGACAATTGTCTGCCCTGCAGTTAGATATGCCTGATTCCTCAATTCTCCCCTTTATTGAATTACTGTAGACTGAGATAGCAATACTGTGTGTTTATTAGAAGGCTGAATAAATGTGGTTAGGGGATCTTTTTATTTTTAAAAAGGAAATTTTTATGTTAAATCTGGTAACAGATAAAATAAACATTTCTAACACTATTTAACTTTCTTTGCCTGTTACATCTACTTTGTGGGGAGATTTTTGTGCAATTGTTTGAAGATTACAGTGTATCTTGTAAGAAATTCTTCTTCACATAATACAGAGGATCAGATCCAGAGGATGAAGCTCTCTAGAAAGTAATACCTGAGTCACTGATGGACTTCAATAAAATATCTTCTTGCTGCTGAGCCTTTCCTGTAACTTCTGCCTATGGATTAAATTATACTGGCTGCACTAAAAACTGAGTAGATCTGTGCAACATTTTTGTGGCAGGTAGTTTGAAATAAGCACCCACTGGAAATCAAAGATGCCATACAGCTGGCTGTTTCCATTTTTAACACAAAATTTTCCTTGGGCTCCCCACAGCAGTGGTCTCAGAGTCCCCTCCCTGCCCAGCAGATGCTGAATGCTCTCCCTCTTGCAGAAACAAGAGGCACTTTCTGGCTCACACCTCCCAGCCTCTCACACATTCCCTCGTCCTCCTTCCCCAGAGTGCCAGAGCAAGGCACAGACCAGCTCTGGCCAAGACACAAAATACATTTGAGTTGGGGGGCCTGAGCTCTTGGGCTGCTGGCCAGCTCCTCCAAACCTTCTTCCCTAAAAAATGAAAAAAATTCAATATCCTGGTTAAAAAAACCCCAAAACTATAAGGGAACACTCAACAGAAGCATGTTGTCCTTGATCAAAGAAATTACCCTGGGTGGTCCACATGCTACCAGCTGGGTGGGTGTTTGGGTTGGATTAGTGGGCGTGTTCTGCCTTCACATACAAATATATCTTGTGGAAGAGTATCTTAGGTAAAATATTTTTACTTCACTCCCAGTTGCTTTACCTTCCATTTATTTATCGGTAGACATAAAGGATGAAAAGTCCTGTTTTTTTTACTTTCACACAGATATACAAAATGTTTCTTAACTGCTACCTTTTACTGAAAATATAGGAGATAAAGAGATCAAGCAAAAGAAATAATGTAAAGACTATATGAGATCCTGTCTCACAAATCTAAGAGACAAAATGGCAAAGATGGGAACTCCTCTACAAACAGGAATTTACTCAGCTGCTTTGCCTTACTTGATCAATTAAACAGATGCTGGAATTCATTATTTAAGCCAGGGAAATCATCAATATCCAGTTGGGAGGTGGATAATATTTACCTCTCCTTACCATGAAGAAAATTATTATTTTTTTAATTTTCTAAACCATAACCATTTTGTTTTGGTATCAGAGGGCAAGGTGGCCGTTACAAGCATTACTCACCAAAAATAACGAAACACAATTTTTAAGTAGCACATCAGTCTGTATTGCTTAAAATAAATGCGCATTCCTCCTGCCTTACAGAGCACATAACTCCAGAGGGGAGTAATGATAAAAATGAGAACAGCAGTGGAAGGAAACCCTGTTTGGCTCTCAGAGGGCCATGCATGCAGCCCTGCCTTACCTGTAGCCTGCAGCAGTAATGCGTTGCTGCTGACAAGTCACTGATTTCAAAGCAGGTTTCTGTGCCACTATATGCAAGCTGTAGAGATTCCTCCTCTTCTCCCCACTCTAATCTGTATTCAGAGATGTCAGTACCAGAACATTCAGGACTCTGCAACACAAATATTTATGTGGTTCAGTTCAGAAATGAGCACTTTGGATCGCTGTGTTTCACTGGGAAAGGAATGAAGTACATGGAAAAAAAGCCCAACAACCACCCTTATTTTTAAATTAATACACCATTACTGCTGCAAATAGAAATGTACTGAGTTAATGTTCCCTAAGAGGTTACTGAAACAGGACAATTCTGCACAAAAATTACCTGATTGAAATTCACAGAAATGAGCGTACACAGCTACTTTGCCTTCCATCAGGACACTCAGGAATAAATTGTCTCTCCACTGGCTTGGCAGAAGCTCAGCCATGGAGAACATAAAAAAAGCATCAATCTAGTGCAGCCTAGCTGAGAGATCAAAACACAACTCTGGAAGCACTGGCCTCAGAGCCTGGAGCAGTCACTCATGTGCTGAGGAAAGAACCAGCTCAGCAAGGGAGGAGCTGGCCTGAGGCTCCTGTGGAGGTCACCCATCAGTGCCAGAAGGGGACCTGGGAGTGTGATCCTGGCACATTGACACCCACAATGGGACCCGGGACTGTGATCCTGGCACATTCACACCCACAGTGGGACCTGGGACTGTGATCCTGGCACGTTCATATCCACAGTGGGACCTGGGACTGTGATCCTGGCATGCTCACACCCACAGTGGGACCTGGGAGTGTGATCCTGGCACGTTCATATCCACAGTGGGACCTGGGACTGTGATCCTGGCACGTTCACACCCACAATGGGACTGGGAGTGTGATCCTGGCATGCTCACATCTAAATGGGGCCTGGGAGTGTGATCCTGGCACGTTCACATCCACAATGAGACTCCCAGGGGATCACAGAATCATCAATGGTTTGGATTGAAAGGGACCTTCAAGATCACCTCAATTCCAACCCCTGCCATGGGCAGGACACCTTCATCAGCCCAGGCTGCTCCAAGCCCATCCAACCTGGCCTTGAACACTTCCAGGGATGGGGCAGCCACAGCTGCTCTGGGCAAACTGCTTTAGCGTCTCATCACCTTCACAACGCAGAATTTCTCCCCAAATCTAATCTAAACCTGTCCCATTCCCCATATCCCCAGCAATGCCTTTATTTAGGGGAACACAAATTCAATGCCTGAATGTGCTGGAGATGAGACAATACAGGCACAGTTCCCAAAGCAAAATATTTAGTGTTTTTAACAGAACTGCCTAGATCTGTACTGTGTACTACTCCCTCTCTGCCTGCAGAGGAGTGGCCTACAAGGACTTTGTGATTGTGACAGGAAAGGTGCAATTCCCAGTGCAAGGACCCAGAGCCTTGCTGCACACCACAGCAACCACCCTGCACAGGCACAGGAGCTCCTCTGGCTCTGCCTCAGAGCTTCCAGGTGTGTGAGCAGGAACACCCAGAGCTCCTAAGCCAGATTTCAGAACAAAATCTGAAAAAAAAGCATCACAATGGGCACCACAGTGTGCTCTCTAGCCACACTCCACAATGCTTCACTGTTTTTCTTTCTAATTCATATCAGCCCAAAAATGACACTCTTTAAGAAAACATAACCACTGCAAGCTACAGCTTCATTTTTAGCTAGAGTAAACAAATATATCCTTCAAATAAATAGAGAACCTACCAGGAGCACTGCGCTTCATGGCTGGGGAGAGCAAATCCCTGACCATGAAAAGGCAACATTTGAAAGTTCAATGCGATTTCTAGTTGCAAAAAATATTAACAGCCCCAAACTGCACCAAATACACCTGTGTGTTATTAAATTAAACACAGATTATGTTTGTATCTAGGTATGTTGTTAGCACAATTTATTTGAGCATCTTTCTCAACAGGGGCATTGTTTTGGGGAGGAGCTCAATAGAACCAGGGCTGGGATGGCTGCTGGATTTTCACTGAAAGTCTGTGGCAGAACTACAGACTTTCCCACTGAACCACATCACAGTATTATTTATGGTAACATCCTTTCTTTTCTGCCTTAATTACACAGCATTTTTTCTTTAATGGCACCAATCATTCCCATAGCACTTCAGCTAACACTTATCTTGAGCTCAATGCCTAAGATGCTGGAGAACGGAGGAGGAATGCACACAAACTAAAATAAAAGTAAATATTTGGGGAAAACACAAACTTTTGATGGGGAAAAAGCCCTACACCGTAAGTATTTATGGAGAGTTAATTCTGTATCAGAGACTCCAGTTTCAGCCAGAATCAAATATTTGTATTTATAATTCGAAATGAGAACATGCTGATGTGCTAAAAGCTTGCAAAGAGCTCTTCTATCATCTGATGCCAGTGCAGGAGGCTTTGTGTCTGAATCCTGGTCTGGAAGACTCATGTCCAGCTTTGTGTAATTCTTCAGAGCAAAGTAGAGGAGATGATTTTCTACAACAGAATAGTTTCTACCTAGGGTTTCCTTGTATAACAAGATAGCTCCAGCCCAGTGAACAGCTCTCAAGCTCACTTTTGAGTTCTGTGCTGAGCACACTGGTCTGGGTAAGCAAAGTGGAATGAACAGGCAGGGACCTGACTCACCTCCCAGCTGACCAGGACTCGTGTGTTGGACAGGAAGGACAGGGAAGGTGCTCTGCACTGGCCCGGTGGTCCCGCTGCTGTGGTGACCTCTGTCACCTCCGAATATGGCCCGTACTGCAGGGGAACAAGGTGGTGGTATTATTATTATTATTATTGTTGTTGTTGTTGTTGTTGTTGTTCAGGTTCAAACCCATCTCAAAGCCCTCAAGAGCTTTCCAAAAACAGCACACGAACTTTTTCAGCACACTAAACTTTCTCAAAGGCAGACTGGGTTTCCAGCACCCAGCACCAACCACCAGAGCTCAGGATGAGCCCACTCAAATGACTCAGAGTTGAAGCGTGAGGTGAGCTCAGGAACAAGCAGAGAGCAGGTACATCCTTTGTGCATCCTCCTGTGTGGCAGCAAGGGCTCATGAAAGCAGAAACCACCTCCAATTTGCCCAAAAGTGAGAATGAGCACACAGTAACCGAGGAACAGTTTGTGTCCCTCTGCCTTACCTTAGCACAGGGTGTTCACGTATCCAAACCAGCATCCCATGGATACAAAGAGGAGCACAAAGACCAAAGCACACATTGGAGTCCAATTCCAGTTTCTTTTACACAGAATGCCTGCCCCAAGTTACTGTATCAGGACAGGATGTGCTGGACCCCAGCCTGGTACAAAGTGCAGGGACACGCTGCGCACACGCTGTGCTCCCTGGGCAGCTCAGCTCAGACAGCCTCTGAGCCCGTGGCAGCAGAATAATTTAAATGCAGATTAGCAAAAGAGAAAAAAAGCCAATTTTCAGCAGTCTGGGAACCTGGTTTCATCCAGCAGTGCAAGGACAGGAGATAGCACTGAAGCAGCCTTTCTGAGGCCTCCTGAGTGGAAGAGCGAGGTTTGCTCAGTACATCCCCGAGTTAATTAGAAATCGTTCTCCAGAACAAAGCAGCTTCACTTGGAAGCAATTAGAGGAAAAACACTGGTATTTACTTATTTTGTAATGCAGTATTAGTGAGCGTGAAAAAAGGAGCCACTACAAAAAGGCCAAACGACACAGAAATTATGAACCCCAGAAAACTTCTCAGCAGACGTGTCAGTATCTGCCATCAAAGAAAGGCCAACACTGATTGCTTTGTCCTACAAAGAATGTACATGTCAAAAAATATAATTTATTGACTTCTGCTGTTTTTGAGGAAGAATCTGGTAAAGGACATCCTCCCCTACTTTGCACCTGGTAGAAAAACAGAACCAAACCAGAACCAGTCCCCTCATTTAACAAAGGGTGGAATCAGAAATGTTTTGCAACTGTTCTGCTGAAAAAATAAAGGAAGAAAAAAAAGGCAAAGCATCACATACTCAAAGCTACCAGGTAAGCAATGGCTCTCACTCCAGCAAGCAAATCTTATCTCTCCTTGTGCATTTAATTAATTTTTCACAAAAACAAAACAGTGGGTGTTTTTAAACCAAAACAGTCTTGCAGATATTTCTAATACCCAAGTTTTAACAGAACTTCTCCCTGCAAGTGAGTAACTTCAAACCTTTGTGTTATATTTGTCATCAAGATTTCCTGGGGAGAAACACGTCAATGCATGTAGTTTAGTTGGGACTTTATATAAAACACCACTGGAATGGCACAAAGGCAAGCATAATCAACCCAAACCTCAATGAAAAAGATCTTTCTGCAGATCTCTGTGGACATCAGACAGAATTTCTGATGTATTTGGGAAGGCACTTCTTCCAAGGAAATAATTTAATAGAAAAGTCTCACTGAATCTATAAAGCACACATTTTTTTTGGAATTAAATCAAAAAAATCACCAGGAGTGTGCGTTTCCCTCAAAACACACCACCTGGGTGAAATTGCAGTTCTTGTTTTTACACATTTTGGATTTAAAACAAAAAAGAAGGAAATGCAACAGAATGAGGACGAAGAGAATCCTCCCTGCAAGCAGCTGTGACTTTCAGCAGGGATTTGGCACACTTGGGAGCAGCCGATTCTGGCCAAACCATACCAGTACCCAAAATCTCCTTCTAAAAGAGACCCAGGTCTAAAACTGCAGCTCCTCCTCCCACGCTCCTTCTGAGCATTTATCACATGTTTTTTCCTTTTCCCAGGTCGCCCTGCCCAGCTGAGGAGCAGCCCTGGCAGCACCCAGAGGTGCTCACGTACCCCGCCGTCGTTCAGGGCCCGCACGCGGAACCCGTAGGTGGCCCCGGGCAGGAGGCTGCCCACGGTGCACTCCAGCTCAGCGCCGTGGTACACCTCAGAAACCACCTCCTCAGGGGCTGTCATCTCCACGCTGTACTCAGAGACAGGGCAGCCGCTTTCTGACTCAGGGACATCTAAAAGAAATCATGGAATTCGTTAGTAGCGTTAGGGCGCGCGCCAGAACGGCCATTTTTACTTCATATACCACAGAAATGTGTATTTCTGCTTTTGTGTATAGATAGAAGATATCTCACAGATATATTCTATCTATATAGATAGACACACAAATTTTGTGTCTCCCTTTTGTTGTGGGCATCTTTGTTTTTACCCATGAAAACAATGTATTTGATGATACCTGAATGTTATGTTACAAGTCAGTAGCAGAGAATCAAACTGCCTGGGGATCAGAAAAACAGCAGCCACCAAAATGCTTCCAGCAATCATATGGGTGGATTTTTATACTGGTGTTGAAATATATTTGACAGTTAGAAATTTTACTTATCCAGAATTTGGCTTAACAAGTGATGCCACAAAAATACTTGGATGCTGCAAGATTATCACTGTAAAAAAAACACTGTTGGAAACTGGCATCTGTCTTGCATTCTGAAAAATGTTCATTTTTTGACAACTAAGTGCCATGAGTGTAGTCCAACATCTTTGCACAGTAACAGGGGTTCAATAGATTATATGTTATACTGTGGATCAGGATTTAAATGCCACCCAAACTCTCAATATGTTCTAACTTAAATTTTTGTAAGAAGTTATACATTAGAAGCTTCTGGCAAGCCAATATTGCAAAAGGAATAATAAAAAAAAGATTTTGAATCACACTGTGTTTTTGAAATAAAAGGAGAGATATTCTAATGATGCTGATACTTAACAGCCCTGACAGGGACAGGGCTAAAAAACAAAAAAAGGCTTACCCCACTGCAGCTGCACCTCCCTGTGCCTCGGCTTGCCCAGCAGCCGGGGCGGGCGGCAGGGCCCCGGCGCCACGCTCAGCGTGCGGACAGGTAAACTCTCGGAGCACTGGGGGAGAACAGAGCCCAGTTATACCTGACAGGAGCACAGCTCAGGTACACCTGACAGGAGCACAGCTCAGTTACACTGACAGGAGCACAGCTCAGTTACACTGACAGGAGCACAGCTCAGGTACACCTGACAGGAGCACAGCCCAGTTACACTGACAGGAGCACAGTTTAGTTACACTGACAGGAGCACAGCTCAGGTACACCTGACAGGAGCACAGCTCAGTTACACTGACAGGAGCACAGCTCAGTTATACCTGACAGGAGCACAGCTCAGGTACACCTGACAGGAGCACAGCCCAGTTACACTGACAGGAGCACAGCCCAGTTACACTGACAGGAGCACAGCTCAGGTACACCTGACAGGAGCACAGCTCAGTTACACTGACAGGAGCACAGCTCAGTTACACCTGACAGGAGCACAGCTCAGGTACACCTGACAGGAGCACAGCTCAGGTACACCTGACAGGAGCACAGCTCAGGTACACCTGACAGGAGCACAGCCCAGTTACACTGACAGGAGCACAGCTCAGGTACACCTGACAGGAGCACAGCTCAGTTACACTGACAGGAGCACAGCTCAGGTACACCTGACAGGAGCACAGCCCAGTTACACTGACAGGAGCACAGCTCAGGTACACCTGACAGGAGCACAGCTCAGGTACACACCCTGACAGGAGCACAGCTCAGGTACACCTGACAGGAGCACAGCTCAGTTACACTGACAGGAGCACAGCTCAGGTACACCTGACAGGAGCACAGCTCAGGTACACCTGACAGGAGCACAGTTCAGTTACACTGACAGGAGCACAGCTCAGGTACACCTGACAGGAGCACAGCTCAGTTACACTGACAGGAGCACAGCCCAGTTACATTTGACAGGAACACAGCTCAGGTACACCTGACAGGAGCACAGCTCAGTTACACCTGACAGGAGCACAGCCCAGTTACACCCTGACAGGAGCACAGCTCAGTTACACTGACAGGAGCACAGCTCAGTTACACCTGACAGGAGCACAGCTCAGTTACACCTGACAGGAGCACAGCCCAGTCACACCTGACAGGAGCACAGCCCAGTTACACCTGACAGGAGCACAGCTCAGTTACACTGACAGGAGCACAGCTCAGGTACACCTGACAGGAGCACAGCTCAGGTACACCTGACAGGAGCACAGCTCAGTTACACTGACAGGAGCACAGCTCAGTTACACTGACAGGAGCACAGCTCAGTTACACCCTGACAGGAGCACAGCCCAGTTACACCTTGACAGGAGCACAGCCCAGTTACATTTGACAGGAGCACAGCTCAGGTACACCTGACAGGAGCACAGCCCAGTTACACTGACAGGAGCACAGCTCAGGTACACCTGACAGGAGCACAGCTCAGTCACCCTGACAGGAGCACAGCTCAGTTACACCTGACAGGAGCACAGCCCAGTTACACCTGACAGGAGCACAGCCCAGTTACACTGACAGGAGCACAGTTCAGTTACACCTGACAGGAGCACAGCTCAGTCACCCTGACAGGAGCACAGCTCAGTTACACTGACAGGAGCACAGCCCAGTTACACCTGACAGGAGCACAGCTCAGTTACACTGACAGGAGCACAGCTCAGGTACACCTGACAGGAACACAGCTCAGGTACACCTGACAGGAACACAGCTCAGGTACACCTGACAGGAGCACGGCTCAGTTACACTGACAGGAGCACAGCCCAGTTACATTTGACAGGAGCACAGCTCAGGTACACCTGACAGGAGCACAGCTCAGGTACACCTGACAGGAGCACAGCTCAGTTACACTGACAGGAGCACAGCCCAGTTACACCCTGACAGGAGCACAGCTCAGGTACACCTGACAGGAGCACAGCTCAGGTACACCTGACAGGAACACAGCTCAGGTACACCTGACAGGAGCACGGCTCAGTTACACACCCTGACAGGAGCACAGCCCAGTTACACCCTGACAGGAGCAAGCTCAGTCACCTCTGCCATGGTCACCACCTTCAAAGTGAGCCACAGCTACAAGAAGTTGTCTTCTACACCCACCACTTAATGGAAATTTATATAAACAGTAAAGGAGAGGAGATGCTATCAAGCATGTCAGTACAAATACAATTAATGGAGTTCCTTCATTAGCATTCTCAATACTGGGCTCTCTGTTTTAGTTTTCCTCAGTTTGAAAATAATGTCAAGGCCTAAAGTACTCAATCTTAAATGAGAAAAAAACTTATCAAAGCAGGAGGAATAAGTGTATAGGTACTGAATTAAAATCAAAGAGGGGAATTACAGGAATTGGGGTCTGAAATAAGGAACCCAAAAACTTAAAGGATTCAGTCATATGAAAGATAATTGTTACAACAAACCACCTCTTTCTGCATCCTCCAGTCAATACAGGGTCAAGCACATGAGAGTCTGTGGCCTTTTTCAAGCAAGTGGCCACATCAGATAAACATGATGGTCTTTTTCTAATGTAAATATAAACAACCACAGATTGATTCTGAGGAAACCAAATCTCACTAAATTGCAGCTTGCTGAAAAGGAAATTATGTACACACAGAAATCTAAAATTCAGCAACATGCAGCATGAGATTAACTGCAATCAGTGTAGTCTCACTGTGCTACAGGGAAAACATTTCCCTTCTTTTGAAAGCAGAAGTATTTTACCAAAATTAGCAGATCAATCTCTGAAAAATATAAACCCAATAGCCCTTATTGTTAGATAACACCCACCTGACTGTGTCCACCAGTGCTGATACAGCACGCCCGGAGTTTATACAAAGTGCCTGGTTTCAAGTGAGTACAGGTGTATTCTGTGGCTGAGCCACTATAGGCCACTTCCCACTGGTTTGCTAAAAATAAGATATATCCAAGTTTAAAGAAGTGGAAAGCAACACATTTAGGAGTGTCCAGGAGAAAGGAAAATCTTCCCCAAATGACATATCTCAGGAAAATCATTATTATCACTATGAATGTTATTTTCCACTTGAAGACATAACACATAGACATACATGCAAATACATATATTTACAAATAAATATGAGTATTATATGTAATGTATAAATGTGCAAATATATGCACACAAATATAAATAAAAATATTTCTAGGTTTAGCAATATAACCTAAAATTCTGTCATTATTAGTAAAAAACCCACTACAAAACCTTCCCAAAATCCAACCCCAGCTCACCCAGGAATCCTGCAAAGTACATAACTGTTTAAATCACATCATTCAGGCATTAATTATAATGACCTAAAGAGTCAGGACCTCCATATAGTAGCCACAGTGTTTTTAAATTGAGACAACTTGTCTCAAGTTTACCTTCTGGACTTCCTTGAGAAATCTCCAGCAGATACTTTAGGATTTCTGAACCACCATTATCCTGTGGAGGATCTGGAAAAATCAGACAAGAAAAGGAGTGAAAGATGGCAAAACAATTACCAAACCTGTCAACAATTACCAAACCTCTCTCTGATCCAGCTCCTTCTAACTACACCAGGTTATGGGCAGCAGAAGGGGGTGACAGACATTTGTTTTCAGCATGAATCAGACTAAAGGTGCTGGATAATGATGATCCAAACAAAATGTATGGAAAAAGCACTGAAAGGGAAGCTGTGTAGAGGTTTGTCCCATTAAAAAACGAAGCAGCTGGAATGAAGCTGCACTGGGACATGAGATGGAGAGTGAAAAGCCTGAAGATGGACTTGAGTGCGAATTAATCAAAAACAAAACATTTTTTGCTTCTGAACACACAAGAGCCTCTACACACCTTTTAGAATATTAAAAAAAATAACCTGTCAAGTTCTCCAAACACATTCAACTTTGGGCTGAGAAGGAGCATGAAAAATCTAAGTTCTAGCACACATTTTTGCCATTTTATTTGCATTTCTTCCGACCCCAAGAAGCTCTGCTGCATCAGTCTGAGCTGGCTTACCCCACTTCACATTAAAGCCATGAGATGTTATCGGCCCCTTGATCACGGGTCTGGTGGGAGGTCCTGGCCTGTCTGGGCTGGTTGTGCAGACCAACACCTCGCTGGGAGAACTCTTCCCTTCCACGTTGGAAGCAAACAGCTGAAACAAAACCACAGTGAGTTTACCCCTGTTCACTGCAACTGCTCTCCTGGCAGTTCTGCAGCAGACTTCTGTCAGCAATTGCACAAATGTCACATCCCAAAGTGTGTGGGATTGTAGTAACAGATACTAGATTGTCATGATGTTTATTTACAAACCACAGTGATTTCTTCCCCTCCCACCATCAGCAATAGATCATGACATGTTTAGGATAAGAGCAGTGCTGGTTTTCCCTTTGAAGAAAAAGTCACTTTTTTCTTTAATAAAGAATAAGTGTGTCAACTTGCAGTATTTTTCTCATAAAAGAAAAGTAAGAGAATTGTAACAATACCTTTAGTATTTTTGTTCTGGAGGTATTTCTAACTGCTATTTATAAAGTAATTCAGACTATCAGTAATCACACAATTAAAAGTCAGATCAAAGTTGTGCCTGTAGCCAGTGACACCAGGCTACAGATTTGTTCTGATACCAATGCAGTTTTGTAAAATCCATGTTTAATTTGAAAGCAGGTCTGCAAAGAAGCACTAAGGGTTCTCTCCTCTCACCTGCCACAGCAGCCTTTACAATGCTAAGCTAAAAGGCATCATCTCAGAGTGACAGCACAAAAACTTCCCAATCCTTTGGGTAGTTCAGGCAACTTCACAAGGTCTTCTGTCCCAGAGAGCAGGAAAAGAGCATTCCCTGTGAGGGTGAGGCCCTGGCACAGGCTGCTCAGAGATGCTGTGAATGCCTCATGGACAGAAGTGTTCAAGGCCAGGTTGGAGCACCCTGGTGTAGAGGGAGGTGTCCCTGTCCACAGCAGGAGGGTTGGAATCAGGTGATTTTCCAACCCAAACCATTCTATGACTTTATGATTTTTTCTTTCTGTTGCTCCTGAATATACTAATCCAGGTTTTGGCCTCACACACAGCTTCTGGCCATCTCCAGAGGGACACCACACATGGGTGGCACCTCCTGTGGACAGGGATGGATGGAGAGCAGCACCACAGCTGATCCTGGATAACCCCACTGCCTTCTCCTCAACAGCAGCATCCACACTGTGCTGTGATCACAGACCTCAGCACAGAGAGGAAAATGCTGAAGCTGGTGTCTGCAGGAAGACTCCAGAGCATCTCTCAGGGGCTCTGAGCATCCACAGAGGAGAAGACACCAATACCTGCTAAAAACCAGCTCCAGAACCAGCCATGTTGATATATGAGACAGAAAAGCTTCATTCTGTGGCTGCCAGGGGAACACAGGCCCCTGTGCTGGCTGGGCACCTGACAGTGTTTGTTGCATTCTGTAGAAGTGAGATGGGATTTGTCACCAGGTTTTTGGGAGCAATGCAGCCAACTGTGACCACCTCATACCCCGAGCTACATCTTTACAACGTCCTCCCACATGGTACTGAGAACTGTGATTGATCCCCAAAGTCTGAGCAACAGTATCTCCCCTGTATGATAAAGGCAGAAATACAACTAACAGTTTCATATATTAGGTCACAGTATAAAGCAAATTTGTATTTGATGACTCAGTTTTGGAGGGAGCACTAAAGGATCCCTGCAGTGCCTGGAAAAAGCCCAAACCAGAAAACACTACACAATGACTAAAGGAAAAAGGCTTTACCCTGAACTTATACTGTGTGCTTCTTCTGAGATTCTTCACAGTACAGGCTTGCTCCTCTCCAGTGTACTTTGGGTGAAACACGCTGTCCTAAAAAAATACAAAACCAAACAAATTCCTGTAAGTGAGGAGTCTGTGAAAGTGTTCCCTCTGTTAGTCTGTGCCTACAACATGTTACAGCAAAGGGGCTTTAGAGCTGAGTGCCTTAAAAAAAAAAAACCCAAGAAAAAACAAACATATATATAATACTTATAACAGTATTACTACTACTACTATCATTACTATTATTATTATTATTACTATTATTATTGTTACTATTACTACTACTACTATTATTTTTAACTGCAAGGCCACAGTACTTTTTTTTTTAGAAGAGACATTTTGCAGCTGCCCTGAATAAGGCAATTTTGCTGCAAAATCAGCACAAAACCAATTGTGGCAGTTTAACCTGCTACAGAACTGGAAGTGACAGATGACAGAACGCCAGCCCACCAAGGAGCAGCCAGGAGGACACGGCAGACTGACCTGGCCAGGGACAAGCTGCCCTGTACCTCACAGAATCCTGTGTGGCTTTGTGAATAATCACAGATGACAGCAGAGATTTTCAGCTGAGGATTCCCAATTCTGCTGTGCAGCAGAGCAGATCACAGAGCTGCACCCTTGCCAAGTACCCAGGACTCCTGGAAGGCCCTCCAAAGGAACAGTCCATGCTGTTCTCAGTCATCTCCAATTATTAAATCAAAACTCAGTTTAAGTCATGCACTTCGTGGCAACACGGCACTCACATTATCCTCTTCCTGGATTTCCAGGGTGTAGGAAATCACTTCCTCTGGTGTGCATCCCTCTACTTTGTTCCACTGCAGGGAGATCCACGTCACCCCAGCGCGCAAGAGCCGCGGTGCAGAAGGGGTCTGAGGAATATTGCCTGCAGTGTAGCAAACCACCTCCTGGCTGTACCCACTGCTCAGAGACGGAGCACACAGAGAAATATTAAATACAGGCAAACAAACCTCCAAATCCCCCCCAGACAAAGAAACAGCAAAAAAACCAAAAACAAAACAACAGCAACAACCAAAAAAATCCAAAAATTAACCCAAATAAACCCCAAATAAATCCACCCCACCACCACAAAAACACAAAGCTAAATAAACCTAAACCCCCAATGCACTTAGAGAAATATTTCACATTTTCAAAAAATCTGGACGAAGTTCAAATTTCTCAGGTGGAAAAGATGAACATCCAGTTAGGAAATGCCAGAACTAAGAATAGAAAAAAAAATGCAGGACAGTAATTTTTTTCCACAATAACACTGGGAAAAAAAATTTGAATGCCTAAAAATATTAACTTGGTATTAACTGTGGAGGAAAATCTCATTTAACAAAGGGGATCCAAAGTATAGGAAACAAAGTCTCAAGTGTTCAACTTTTGGATGTTGAACCTGAGATGTGCAGAATACAAACTCTATAAATTCTGATCAAGCTCTCAAAGGAAGGTGACATTCTTGCACTTTTCAAATCTGTTTCCAAATACAAAACATATCTTGTACCTTGAAGTCACACCATGAACTTAACACACAGAAAAAGCCAAATCTCCTTATTCCAAATTTTCTTTCTCAAAAATAACCTATTTATTGAAATACACTTACATTTAAATAAAGCACCTATAACGAAAACCCAAACAAGACAAAAACCATCATACATGGTAAGTCCATAAAAGCATTACAACAAACCAAAGCCATCTCATGCCATGAAGTGTTAGATGACATTATCATGCCTTAATTCTGAGTGCTGTCTATAAAAATAAGGCATGTATGCTGGTGCTTATCTCACAGATTAGCACAGAACAGCTGACCATAAATAGTTTTTAGCTCACTCCTTCCTCAATAGCCTGAGGGGAGAGAAAAAAGGGAGAAAGAGAAGAAACAAAAAAAAAAAGGGGGGGGGAGGAGTGTTGAAACATGCACTAAGATATTTTAAAAATCTGGAATCTGGCAAAGAAAAGAGATGCCAGAACTGGGAACTCTGCACAAACCCAATTCCCTTCCAGTTACACTCAGCAGGTCCAGCTCAGCCCCCCTCTCTCTCCACATTATTTCAATGGGGAGGGAATTAATCTTGGAAGAAGTTGGGAAAAGGGACTCTGTGCACGTGTGAGTGGTCTCAGTCCATGTCAGGGAAAACACAGGAACATGAATAAAGCAGCTTTCTAAAGCTATAAATTACGGAGAGGCTTGTGTTTGAGGAGACAGAACAATGCAGGAGTCTCCCTCCACAAAACACATTGTTATAAACCAGTGCTGTTTCTTTTGTGTCCTTGTAGCAATGATTAGATCCTGTTTAGCTAAGGAGGACAATAAAGGAGTGCACAAGGGCACTGCATGTTTGGCTTCTTCACAGCTGAACCTTTCCTGGCCTGCCCTGCTTGCCTGAGCCCAGGAGCACAAAGTCCCTTCTCTGGGCACACTCTGCCCCTCAGCTGCAGAACATTTCACCCCAGGGCTCCCCAGCAGCTCCCAGAGGAATGAACTAAGTCTGATTTCTCACCCATCTTCATGTGAGTGCATCAGTGTGTGTGCAAGGAAAAGCAGAAGCTAAACCCCATCTTTCAGTGCTTTGGATGTCCTCTCTCAGTCCTGCCTGTCTCTCCCTTCCTTCCCACCCCATCAGCCAGCCCTGCCAGTCCTGAAGAAGGAAGGGACTGTACTGCTGAAAAGAGACAGAAGGGCTTTGCTTTAAACCAGAAAAATAAATATATCAAGATTCCTTTCAAAATCTGTAACTCAACTTCCCCTTGCTTGTTTTTCTTGGTTCGCAGAGGTCCCTAGTGGGAATTTTACATAACAGATGTATTCTTTTCGTATTAGGAACAGACCACAAAACACCATTTAACACCTCAAAAGGAGCCTATCTGCTCAGGCTGATCTCATCAGCTGAAGGTACACAGCAATTCCCTGGGAGGTGAAGGATATCATCAAGGAAAGCCTGACTTACCTTGAAGCATTAACAACAGAGCAAATATCAGATACTAAACTCAAAACCATTGTGAAAAATGCGTGTATTTTACTATTGGCTTTTCACAAATATTAAAATGAATATTATATGTGTTGTGTTAGAAAGTAATGCTGTATTAATTCTCTTAAGTACTGTGTTAAATATAGTTTTAGGTTATAAAAATTGTTAAAATAGAAACGATGCTATGTAGGATACTTTTCTTAAGAAAGGACTCGCACTTAGCAGCCACAGGACACCTAAATCTTTCAGAGAGAAAGAATTTTTTGCCCCATTATCAGAAGAAATTAACTTCTTCCCACCTGGAAGGTGCTGTTAGGATTCAGAGGAAGAAGTTGATGATGACCAGACAGAATCCTGTGTTTGAATGGAATTTATGCATCACGTATGAAGTGCATGAATATGTAACAAGCTATTGGTTTTAAAGGTTTATCCTTTGTTAATGCGGGTCTTTTTCAGGCTCCTGCTGCCCAGAAAAAGATACCCAGACGTCCGTAACTCTCTGTACTTGTTGTCTCATATTGTCCTAATTCAAATTGTCCAAATTATTATTACTCTAATTGTATTACTATTTTTATAACCATTTCATTACTATTAAACTTTTAAAATTTTAAAAACAAATGATTGGCGTTTTTCACACCATGAAGAGAAAAGAAACAAAACCCCCCCCAGAAATTCCTCTTTATGCTGGCATTGATGGGTGAACTTTTCAAGCAGCACTTTTTTTGTCGAGGAAGCTCTCAGCTCTCTGAGGAGCTCACCTGGTACCGATGTCGTTCTGGGCCGCCAGGCGGAAGGTGTAGCCCAGAGCCGGGCACAGCTTGGTCAGCTTGCAATGCTTCTGGCTCCCAAAGTAACATTCTCTGAAACCACTGTTCCTCTTCCCCTGGAAAGAGAGAAATCTGTGATTGGATTGCTATGAAACAAAACCACGCCACGCTGGTTTCAGAAGTGCTATCAGAATGAGATGTTTCCATAAAGGAAGCTGTGCGAGCGCTGACAGCACTGCTGTGCTCTGAAAATCGCACAGCGCAGCAGAGTCTGTCACATACCTTCTCCTCTTACCTTCTCGGAGCTGTGAGAAGTGTCTACAGCACATTGAAACACAATTTACCCCACTCACAATAAAAAAAAGTGGGAAAATTATGAATGAAATGAATCTCTGCATCTCCTCGGAGCAGGGATAAAGGCGCAGCCAACACTTTGCAAGCACTGCTCTCCCCCGAGCATCCCTCGCTGGGATTGTCTCAGCAGTTCCCTATCCCACCAGAGGGCTCTCGCTCCCCACGCTCCAGCACAGGACAAGCTGCTGGGACCTTCCCCTGCTTTCCAGGGCAAAATTCCTCAATCCCAGAGGAATATCCAGCGTGCCAGGCTCTGCACCCACCCACTGCCCCGAGCACACCGCGTGTGAGGAGTGAACAGGGATTTTGGGGGAAGTCTGGAACTTTGTAAAGGAACCTGTTTGCCAGAGGGATGGTGTTTGGGAGCTTCACACCAGTGTGACCTGGAGCAATGATCCATCCTGGGAAAGGCAGCACGAGGCAGCATCCCAGAGGGAATGGAGACACTTCTCCAGCTCCCAAACACGAGGCAGAATCCCAGAGGACATGGAGACACTTCTCCAGCTCCCAAACACTTCTTCAGGTGCTGGTTTGTATCTCAGCACCGCCGAGCACAAGGACACACACAAATTCTCTCCCTGACCCCACCACATTTAAAACAAAACCAAACCCCTACTAATGCAGCCCAGCTTGGCACACCCTGGGGCAGGAATAAAGCCCAGATGTTTGCAGGACAGAGTCAACTGAAGTAACAGGGAATAATTATTCCCTAAAGTAACAGGGAATATCTGGACTCTTTCTAGGCCACACATGGAAAATGGGCAGTTTGAAATCTTTCAGGGAAAAAGGCATGGACTGCTCAGCTCCTCAAAAATAATATCTACCAGTATTGGAACAGCTGAAAGGAGTTTTAATTTCAGTACTCAAATACAGAATTATTGGACATTATGCCATTATTTATTGTTATTTATTTGTATATAAAAATATGAAAAACATATATGTTATTTATGAAAATAATTTAAAATTGGGTACATTATGAAGTACCCAGAAGCCCACCAGAATGGAGGTCTGACAAAGCACACCCATGGGCTCCAGCATGTGCAGAAGACAGGGTTATGCCCATCTCTGCAACTTCTTCTGACTGAAAAGTTCTCCTGAGCCATTTATTAGTTTTGGCACATACCATTTTTAATTTTTATGTACCATTCTTAATTTTTACTGTACTATTTACTGTACTATTCACATGGGAATCCCCCTGAGGCCAGCAGCCCCACCTGCCGTGCCTCCTTGGGCTCACTGTGCCCTCCCACACGCTGTTCCTCCTCCATGCTCAGAACATCTCCACTAAAGAGCTCCAAAATCCCTGAGTGGGACATGCATTTTTCACTGGCCCACTCTCCAGCCCCTGCCAATTTCTACCTCTTCTCCCTCGAGAAGGAAAAACTCCCTGAAAGTTTTGTGGTGAATCTCCAGGATGTGTTTATCAGGCTAGAAACAGCCACAGAGATGATTTCCAGCACAGCACAGCAGTGTGGGGGCACTGAAGGGACGTTCAGCATGCTGGCAAACAGCCAGAGCTTTTATTTACACAGAGGGAGCCTACACTTGTTCTAGAACTCCTTTACACACAACCTCCTTCAGCTTCACCCACCTGCTCCAGCATTGCTGCACAGCTCAGGTAAATTCAGGAGGGGGATTGGAAAAGAATCACGAAACCCAAAACAAAAACAGTTTGTAAATGAGGAAAATATTTACAGATCTAAAATCCCTAGCCATTGAGTGCTGTGATAGAATTGCTAGTTACAGAATTCTATGGTAGAATTTCTTTAGGACAAAATTAACAGGTGAGCATACTTCTCAGCTCAGCAGCAATAGATTTAAAGTGCAGACTATACAAAACCTAATTAGAAATCTTATGTTTCAGTAAAATATCCATTCATCAGTTCAGCACTACTAAAAATAGATTTTTTTCCCCTATGCAAACTCTCTTTTACAGGTTGAGTTGCCTTAAATTAATTTTTCCTCAACTCTTTAATGACTTCACTGCTTATAAATAATTGAAAACATTTAATTTATTTTGGATTTCTCTTTAAGAATGCCTTTTTAAAAAATAATTTTCCTATGCTTTTTTTCCAGGAGAACAAAGTGACCAATTGCTAAGCATATGGTCAATAAAACAATGATGGCAAAAAAGAGGAAATCATGGAAAATCTCACCTATAGCACAATGCCTGAACTGAGAGCACTGGGCCAAGCAAACTCTCATTTGTCAGCCTGGTTGGTTAAAATTTTGCCAAGATTGCCAAACATTTAAAGTATCTTTAACTTTATAACAGTACAAACCCTGATATTGTATATATTTCTCTTCCAGAACTGGTATTGTACATTCCCCAGACTCACTCAGAGACCAACTGGTATTCAGATTACTCAGACTGGCTGGTATTTTGGATTCTATTGGCACTAATTGGAGAGGCTGGCCGATATTTCTAATTATCCTGGCATTAATAGCCTGGAAATAGCTTCTCTGCTCCTTCTCTCCCAAGATTTATGAAAGCACTAATGCTGGCATAATTATAGACAGGAACAACTGGCAGGCTGGTACTGGCTGCCACCCAAGAGCCTTACAGCTTTCCCAGAATCCTCCTCCTAGTCTTTGTACACTCGGCATCCAAGTTTTTAATCCTTCAAATAATGTTTCGTAAGTTGCTTAAAATACACTTTGTATCGTTTCTGCGAGGATTTGCAGTCCCCACATTGCAGAGGGAGAGCGCTGTCCCCCTTCCCCAGCCCGGGGGAGGCTTCTCCTGCCTCCCTTTGCTCCTCCAGGACAGCCCACCCTGTGCTGGACCATCCTCGTCTGAGGGAACAAGGACAACTCAGCCCCACAAATCCCTCCTGCATTGCACAACGCTCCAGCAGTGTTTGAACACCATCACAGCTCGGCTGCTCTTTCAGCAACACTGCAAGCTGCACACTCACCCAGCGCAGGGTGCATGGTTTCCTTTGGAGAGCGTGTTTACTGAAGAAGGGATCTGAGGTTTGAAATGGGTTTTGTTGACTGATCCGAGGTTTGAAATGGGTTTTGTTGGCTGAGGTCCCTGCAGCAGACCCAGTAAATAAACACAGGGGGAGGAAGGCGCAGGTACAGCAGGGCAGGGATGGGGCACAGCCCTGCACAGGGCTGAAGCAAAGCTCACACCACACCTGTGAGCAGCACGCAGCAGTGACATCTGCTGCGGCCACACCAGCACTGGCTGCTGTGCTTGGGTCCTGCTGGCAATAAAAAGGAACAGACTGAAACTCAATCTGACACAGAGCTGAGGAGCAAACTGTCAACAATTAGTGCAACACACCCTCAGCTCTCTGCAGAGGATTTACTGTGCCAGTTATGCAAGTAACTGAGTTTTCTCTATACACAAACACTCAGGAGGCAGAAAGGGACCTATAAAACATCCCTAAATTATACAAAACCCCCCAATTTTACACAAGGGTCTCCTCTTGCATGTCTCACAAGAGTGGCACAGCCACAGAACAAACTCAGGGAGGGCAGGTAAGTGAACAAACACAAACATGGAGCTCCCTGTACCCAGCTCTGGAAAATCACCACTCAGGTGCCGGGCTCAGATTATCAGCTGGTATAAACAAGCACATCTCTGCTACCTCGAGGAACTTGAAACTCTGTGGCAGAACAAAATTCTCCCCATTTATCTGTATGTAAACTTCACTATTAACCATCCATCATCAAATCATTAAGCAGTGTGGTATTGTATCAGTCTCTCTCTGGAGTAAATGAAAATGAGCTGCTTACAGGGTAAGAATTAAAGCTGCTTTGAGCTCTGCACAGAACAGGGACACACACACACTGTGTGAGAGGGATGTCCTTGTCTCTGGCTCAGAACATTCCTGCCCTTTCCCATCGAGAACGAATAGGATACTCTGGCTATCCATATACACAAGAGAAACATTTATTTACTACCACTTAATCACACTACAAGCATTTCACATCTAATTAGCAACAAAGGCCTGGTTCTTACAGCAGTGCCAGCAGCATTTTTCAGTGCAGCTACAGTTTAGTGATTTTGATGAATGCTGGCATCAGGGAAAGCATCACCTCCTTTACAGTCATGTTTTCTGTTTGGTATATTTTTAATGCTATTTTTTCCCCTGATTAGCTTTTTGCTTACTCTGAATAATCAATCCTGGCACCAAGTCATCAATTCAGTTCAGGTTTTTAAATTCAAATTTCACAGCAAAAGAGCCAGAAGGTGAAGTTTTCCTTAATTACCAATTTGAACTGATTTTATTGCCAGAGAACTAACGCACCTGTAGTACAAGCATGTTCCAATCCCAATGAAATCCAGAATACCTGAGACAGAGGCTGATCCTTACTTCTTCAGAGTCAGTGGAAATTTTCTTAGGGTACATCCAGTGTAACTGAGTGACAATTTGCTGAACTGATCTTTTACTCTCCTATTTAAGAACTAAGTGTCCTTTATAGTTCTTCAGGCATTTTAAGAGACAACAGTTCATCAGCAAAGTATGACAACTCTAATTCAAAGACTTGGATCAGTAAAGGGAAAGCATTTGTGTTTTCTAACTAAACATGAAGCACCAGTTAAATTACAAACTGTTTAACCCAAACTGGGACAGAAAAATGTAGGATAACTGGAATGGCTTTATGTACTGACAACCTTTCAGAGTCTGCAGGTCAGGAAACCCTCAAACCGGAGAACTAAACTGAAGCAGCAGCTGGGTAGGGTGGCACAGTAACATATTAAGCAGGATAACCTTCTAGAATTTCCTACCTCACCTCACCGTGGAGTTTTACAGCCACAACTCATTTTCTGCACACGCAACTGACACCACCTACACTCCTGGAGGCGCTTTGGATGCTACACACTGCTCCTCTACCCCATAAAAACCGGAGGAACCAGGTGAGACACTGCTGAGCATCTGACACACTCTGAGATCTGGGCTGTGCTACAGACAGACAGAGAGGCAGACAGACAGACAGACATCTGTGAGCCCCCATCCAGGAGCACAAAGGGGCTGCAGGAGCCCCTCCCTTGGAGGGATAACTCTGCTTGAGCTGGGGGAACACACTGGTGTATCTGGGACACAACTGGAGTGTTTTCCTGGATGCCCCCACCCCTCTCCACACCTCCCATGCCTGATGCCAGCTTTGTTTGCAGCCTTTGCACAAGAGCCTTGCAGGACCTGCGTGCCATGAGTGTGGCAAGGGCTTTCCACACCATTCTTCCCTAGGAAGGGACTCTACTTCCTAGGCAGGCTGCCACTTTAGGGTGTTTCTCCACCTTTATCATCTGACAGATTTCTTGCTCTCTGCTCTTGCAAAGCCCTCTCTGCTTTGCAGCCACGACTCCATTTCCTTCTGATGGCTGATTATTTTACCCTGTGCCTCACAGCTCATGAATGCTGCTCTAGCTGAGCTCTGGCAGTGTGCTCCCTGCTGCCTGGCAGCCCTCTCCTGTGCCCTGATGTATGTATTCCTTGATTTCAGCAGGACACAGGGTGGCCTTGAGGAGAAGGCAGTGCTTGTGCTCGTGTGGAGCGCACAGAACCAAGCTCGGGGCTGCAGGGCACTGCAGGTGAATTCTCTTTTGTACCTGGGTGCCAGAGTTCCAGCAGTTGAGTGCACTTCACTGTCACTCTGGTTTTTTAAGATTTTTAAAGTTTTCTAATGTTGACATTCTTGTAGTGAACTTTCTCACCTACTTTCTGTAAATAACTCATTGTTTTGCATTCCTTTATGGAAGAAGAAAGAGTTGATAGATTGTTAGTTTGACCAGTGTCACTGGAGAGGTGGCACTGTCACCCTACAATCCGCTGTCACTTTTGAAAAACTATAAATGTTGGAGTCAGAAAATAAAGTTCCTTTTTTTCCTTCACCTTGAGAACAGAGGTGTGTGCTTGTGTTCTTCCTCAGAGGCACAGCCTGCCATGGCCCATGGAAAAATGACTGCAGCATCCTGCCAGCCACCACTGCATGGGATGGGGCTGCTGCAGACTCAGCCTGCATCTCCAGACTTTTCCTTTCACAAGCATTAATAGCAGGCTTCAATTTCAGTGGCTTAACGTTGCATTTCTGTCTCTCATCAGAGAGATAAGAGACAGAAATCTCTTATCTCTTATTTTTCTAAAAAATTTTTAGAGAAGCTACACCTGTGGCATTAACTGTCTCAGAAGCTGCCAGCTACATTTCAGCCAGGACTCCTGTCAAACCACTGGAGAAGCACCAAATTAATTTGTGCAGGGCCATTATTCTTTCATCTGTGCTGGCCAGCTATCCATTATAATCTCAGATTTCAGGGCTGTTACTGAGAAAACAAGGTAATTAATAAGGGAATCTGGATGCCTTCATTTTTTCCCATTGGTAGCTGAACTACCCTAAACCAAACTGCTTTTGCTCTGCGAAAAAATGGGTGCCATAAGTATTCTTTCTGAAGACAAAATTCTTATTAAAGAGTTTGAAGGACAGAAGGATTTTAGAATTGTCCTATATATATCCAAAAGTATGCCTATCCTCTATGTAGTCAAAATGAACATTACAGTATTTGCACTGTATAATTATCTGCTGACGGTCCCTCTTCTGACAGGACTTTCTGTTGCTTCCCTTTCCTTTGCAGGCTGGAATCATCCATGTTTCCACTGCTCTGTGCTGCTCTGCTCCTTCAGCTCCAGGTTACTGGAAGCTTTGGAAGAAATCACAAGTGCACAATCAAGATGTCACAGGACTAACAGGATCATTATGGCCCAAGCTTTTGGAGAAATCTCTCTTTACCTTCTTTCCCAGACTTCACACTCCCCTTTTTCCCTTGTTTAATGACAACCTTTGGTTTTCCACTATGTGCAGAGGGACAGCAAGTCATTCTGAAGTTATTGCTCAACTTTAGCTCAGGTTCTGAGGGTTTCTCACCATGCAGACCCCACTAGCTGTGACAGTGCACACAACAATGCTTGCAGTGAGTGCTTCCAAACACCCAACATGCAGCAGAACGAGCAGGGAATGTGTCACTAATGCCATGGTGGAAAACTATTCATAACAGAAAACTCCCTTTAGAGTATTTTTAGACTACAAAAGACCTCAAGAGACGTTTCTCAGACTTTACAACCAAACACCTTTTCACACCCTTCATTTCCCAACTCATTACTTTTATTTACATGTTGTCCAAGCCCTTTCTGTCATCCAATTTATTCTTTTCCTTCAGAGATAAAACTCCCTGACTCATGCTTTCTGCAGAAATATCACTTGCAGAAAGGAAAGGGGGCAGAAATTAGGGGATAAAGAACACACCTCCAACAAATCCTGCACATCATCTCTCAGGGCACTCTCCCAACAGCCCAGTGCTCACTAACCATGGAAGATATTCAGGAAAAAACTTATTTCCTTTTGTGTCTGGAAAGGGGCTAATTGCCAGTACACAGAGGACATTTATTTTGACCCTGAGTACATTTCTGTGGACAGGTCTGCAAGATCATGGTTCTTCTCCTCTAAGGCAGGAACAAGTGTTTGTTCTGCACTCAGCAGCAGGAGAAAGAGATCATGAACAGAACTGTAAGATACATCACAAGTAATTAAATAGCAAGTAATGCTAATTAAATAAAGTACACCAAATGAGTGATAAAAGATTTCAAGGGTACAGAAACAGAACATTGTCTCTATATAAAATAAATTGAATGGAAAGCTTTCCCTCCACTGCCTCTTTCACCTTTCCAACTCTTTACCTAATGCCATCAGGATTTCATTTTCCCATTTCTACTTTCTCCTGTATTTAATTACTTTTCTTTACTCAGCAAATCCTTGTAAAGTCTGAGTGCCATTTATTTGTGTATTTATTTCAACCAGTTACTACTTACCTCATCCCACTCCAGAAGGTAGCTGGTGATTTTTGAACCATTATCAATGGGTGCCTACGAACAAAAATAAACAAAAGGTGATCTGGGGAGTAAGAGAAAACAGCTTCACCTCCCCCAGGCAAATGAGCACAGCTTCAAGTGAAACCAAAGCTTTGCACATGGCTTGGCAACCTCTTAACCAATGCTGGGAAGGAGCTGGACATAATGAAACACATACATTTTAAAAGTCAGGTCGGTGCACAGGAAGGGATTTGTCAGAGCAGAGCAAGTTCAAGTCCCTTACTGCAAAATGACTGTCTCAGCTTTCAATTATTTCCAACATTTATGCTCACTGTCAGAACTTTTCCCCTGCTCTGCCTGAACCAAGTGTTACCCACCTTCCACTGCAAGGTTAAGGAGCTTTTGGTCCTGTGTGAGGCTTTGGGTGGGAAGGGGCTCTCTGGTGCTGAGCTGTGAGTGGTGAAGCTGACTGGCTCTGAGCAGGATCCTTTGACTGAGTTGTACGTTGCATATACCCTGGAACAGAATTGAAATGGGTTATAAATGTGCTGACAATTGCAGTGGCACTGCCTTGGCCTCAGTGACCACCAAGGCACCCACAGCACCATCCAATAATGACAGACTATTCACAGCCCAGTGGCAATCCCAGCTTTGCTTCACTTATACAAGAATACAAAAAACATTACAGCAGAAGAGGAACATTGTTTTGTGCAAATATTCCCATGGACTACTGAGATATCTTCATTATCTTTTCTTTCCACCAGTATTTCCTTGCCTATTGCCAGAATTCCACACACTGTGGTAAAATCCTCCTTGAAATACAACAGAGAAAAAGGTATCAACTTTAATGCCTGGTTTACACTTGATCCACATGTACCATATTGAGTGCTGGTCTCCTCCCATGGGTACTATTTTTTCCTACATAACTCAGGAATCAACATTTACTGCACCTCCATGGACTAGAACTAACACAGGCCAGCAACACTACTGTGATAAACTAAAAATCTTCAAAGCAAATCTGATTTCAGGCAAATCCTCTATATGTCAGCAGAGAACATGCAGTGACAAATAATATGGGAAAGCAAATGGGATGTAGTTGAGCACTTCCTCACGAGGTGCTTTTCTCTGAAAAAGTAATGACGTTATTTTTCCCCTTCACATTTTCCATGCAGCAAAAGAAAGTGCAAATTGGGAGTCTTCTACTCAAAGCAAAGTTCAGGCCATGACCAGGCAATGACCTCTGAGTTGGCTGTAGCTATTGTGTGCTTGAATGCAGAGCTAAAGAAAGGGCAATTTCTAAATTTGTTTTCAGTAGATAAGAGTAATTTATGCACAATGACCACCTACATGGAATCAAACCCTCTGGGGGAGGTAGACAAGATCTGGTGCTGCTTTACACATCACCTGTTAGCAGGCAGGAGCAACAAGAAATGCAATTAATTAACTGGGTCTGCATCTGGCAAGTGGCACATGTGTGTGCTGGAAATGAGCGTGGCCCGGCATCCAACACACACCACAAGGGAAATAAAACCCTGTGAAAATGAGCTCAAGGGGCATCTCCTGCAAGCCACTGAAGCCCTGAGCACTGAGGGCACCACAGCAACACACCTGGAGGGAAGCAGGTGGTGGTTCAGAGCAAACCAGGCCATTCCAGGCTGGAGCACAAGCACCTTGTCCAGCAGAGACAAAGCCCTGAGGGATGCTGCCAAGGTCAAGGAGACCCAAGGCGATCTGCCCAGTAACTGCTGGCCCCATAAATTTCTTTCCTCAACAGATTTATTTCTTCACAGTCATTAATACATAATGCAGTTTCAGCTGAAGGAAATAAAAACTATGGTGGAAAGCAAACAGCCGCTGCTTCAGCGACAGCTCGCTCCACTACAAACACTGCTGCTGCTTTGCAAGGCTGACTGTTGTATTTAGACACTCCTTTTCAAACAGAAGTTATTGTTAACTTCTCACAAACAACCTGTATTTGGCAAACCTGCAAGACGGTGGAGGGAACTGTAGGCAGGGAGGAAGAAGTCAGCCAGGACCTGGGGCAAATACCCACAGCACCCCTAAAAATGACTGAAACCTCAGCCCAGCTGTGCACGGTGAGGTGAGGTCTCTGGTGTTTGAATTTGGCTTCAAAAGAGATGTTCAATGCTCAAAAGGAAGCTCAACAGTGTTTTACAACCTTCTCCTTGTTGCCATCCCTTTGCTGCCAAGGACAAGGCTCCTGCCCCATTCAGGAGCTGCATCTTTTCCTCATTTACGAAAAGTTCCTTCTGGTCTTGTGCTTCTACTTGAAAAATTCATTTTAGGGCTAGAAAAAAATCCTTAAAAATAATCTATAGTAGCAGAGCTAGATGGACACATTTTGGTGTGGGATTGTTTTTTTTTAGCGCTCAGAAGCAAGGTGTTTGTTCTTTAGTTTTACAAACAGGAGCAACCTTGATGTGAAACAGTGTGCCTAGCCCTTGTCTGGAAAAACAGAAGGGAACAATAGACAAGAGTGAAAGGATTTTTTTTTTTAAAGGATATTGAAGGTAAGTGAACAGGATGTAAATTCAAAGGCTTGGTTCATAAAGTCTTTAAAAAAAAGCAACATGAGCAGGTAACACAGTGTTAAAACAATCTAGAACAAAACTAGAATGTGTTAATAGTTAATAAATGTGTAAAACACATCTTCAGAATCAAAGAGAAATATGTTATGAAAACATCAACACAGTTCAGTGTGAATCCATTTTTTTCTTGGAATAAATGCTGAAGTGTCTATGGTCAGATGGATCTGTATGCAGCAGCTTTACTTCCCAAAGTGTGGCCTCCTTATCAAAAAAAGTGTGGAGCACTTCCAGTGTTCATCTTACAGGAACTGAAGAAACACCAGGTGCTTGAGCCAAATTTTTAAATTACCTCAGATATCCTACTTTCATACATAAGCACTTCCAGGCCTGTTATCCATACAGAAATACAGATCATAAACTTCTTTTTATCTCTCACTAAAGTAATGACAACACAATGAAAGATACTGTTCAAAAACACTCTCATAGTCCAAGATAAAATCTATGATAAAATATTTAGAAACCAATGAAAAACCCAACTACAGAGGTGACCATGAAATTCTTGAACAACACTGTATATTTACTTCAAAGTCTTTCACATTTATTCTTATATCATTGAAGAGTTTATATTTAAGCGATATTCAAATCATGCTGACTCACCTGACATGATAATCTGTTGCTGGCCTAAGGTCCTTCAGGTGATATTCTAATTCTTCTCCACTACAGGAAAGAAATACAAATAAATCAATAAAACCAAATAAATCAATAAATTATGAAAAGCAATATCCCATATAGCACAGCTAGTGATTTTCTAGTGATAGAATTTGAAAGAAGAAAAATAATCCCTCCAAAGAGAAACAGTAGAAACCATATACCAACAATTTGTCACCACACTTCACGCTTCCTGAAAACTTCATAAAGCTCCATATGCACAGAAAATAATTTATCACACTAATTTATTCAGTAAACTAAATAGATGGGTTCATTTCAATGCTACCTCATATTTTGCTGATATTTGTATAAAGCTCATTGTGGTTTTCAACCCTCCCAGAGCCAAAAGGAGCAAAACCCAAACATTATTGTTGTAGTTTCTTCACATTCCCTATTCAAAATACTTCATACACAGTGACCCACTGAACTTCACAGGAAAAAGCAGAGTTTCTTGCACAACCATTTCACTTATTGCTCTCTCCTCCAGAACCACACTCCCTGTGAGGACCACAGCAAGGAGACATTTAATTAACACCCAAACAGCTGGACCCAGCTCTCTTTCAATACCAAGACAACTTAAAGCAAAGTGGTTTGGACATTTTAAGAAATAACCAGCATACAATCCATTAATTTCAAAAGCAGCCAACATAGTTAGGGCTATTCTTTTTCCTTCTGGCTTGTTTGCTGGTAAATGAACACTGGGCTCAGTCATGTGTTGCCAAATCTGTGAAGATTAAGGTACGGGTCAGTGCTTAATAAGTAATAGCCATCTCATGTAAGAGCTTGGCTTATTCATGATTTTATTAAAATATGGGAAACAAGAAAGCTCTCAATTCAGCATAAAGAAATATTTCATAGCTAGCTGGACAAATACAGGGAGATGTCTCAAAATCAATAGAACAAAATCCACCAGAAAGCACACGCCTGCTGGGTCGCCAGAAATCCACCAGCAAGCCTTCTATTTTTTATTTCATATAATACAATGCTCTGCAAATCCAGGTTTTCCCCTCTGAAACGAGTGCACCTCCTTCCAAAGACAATGTATTCAGCATATTGCAGACTCTCTTTTGCCTATAGTAATAACAATTACTGCTGCTCCTGATGGAACATACCACATCAAGCTAAGGGCTGCACTCTGGCCAGCAGCAGGAGACACATCACCACCAGCAGCTTTAAAACAGATGCACAACATTTCATAACCAGGAGAAAATGTGCAGCCATCAAGCACAAGGAGTACTAGAAAGTGTCCTTCCCACTTTAAAAGCTCAGCAGCACACACTTGACTATGGAGATGCTCACATTGGCTCACAAACAGCTGCTGTAAATGCCAGAAAAAAACAGAGTAAAATCAGGCAGCCTTTCCCTGGTTAATACACCCTTTTTGTATTATCCAAGAGCTGCCTTCAGCATACCAAGAGGAATACCCTAATTCACAGGACATCTTAAGAAAGGAGATGGCTTGGTCTCAAGAGGTAATTCCTTAAATGCTCTATCACCTGGACTTTATTTAATGAGACTTGGGAAGGATTAGCTATTTCACAATAGCCAAGGTCACATCTCCAAATTCTCTTTCCTAGACGTCATTAGTGGGGGAAAAAGAAAGGCATAACACCATATGTGCTTGATCACAGAGTGAGCTCAGAGGATCACTGCAAGGAGACACAGAGAAATCCCTCAGAATTTTCACTGAAGCCTGCTGAGAGCCAAGTATTTGGGTTTTTCTGGGGAGCCTCTGTAACCTACTGACTGCTCCACTCCCTCCTCTGCTCATCTAAGACACCACAAGGCAACAAAGCCCTCACATTTTTCTCGTTAGCTGAAATAACAAGATTTTACTCTTCTAAATTCTGCAAGTCCACGCAAAATTAGCCCATTAGGAAGGCAGCTCTCCTGCCTGCATGGTGTACAGGAAAGGTTTTGACATTTGGCATAAAAGAAAATGTAACCTTTTCACTGGCAATGGGAGTGATGGCATGGCAGGCAGGATGTGCCATGTGCCAGGGAGGTGGGATGGGGTGGCAATTAGGGACCTTGTGACATGCACTCCACCAGATCCCTGCAAGCTCCTCTGATAAGGAAACGTGCCTTTCTGCTGTGGCTGATGGCCATGCCAGGATACACCCTGAAAAGCTCAGAGAATTTACTCCTAATGAAACAAAGAAAGTGTAAAGATGCTGTTTTTTACCTGTAAATGATCTTGTATTTTCCATCCCTCCCTTTATCTGATAAGGCAACCTCGTAGGTACAGGTGTAAGGCAAACCGTTGTTGTGTCTATCTGCATTGAGAAGGCCAGTGGGAGGTGACCAGGACAGCAAAACTGTTCTTGCTTGAATATTTGTAACCTATAAAAGAACCACCAGTTAATCTGAAATCTGAGGAAAAACCACTATTCTGTAAGCATTTGCTTTTTGCTTGCATCTTCACAATTTCTTGCAAAATGGAAATTTCCGAGCTAGAGTTGAAAAGTAAAGGGTCAGAAATGATCAACAACACAAACAAAAACACAGATTCATGGCAAAAAGTGATCTGTAACAGATGAGAAATAGAGAGAGAGGTTCCCCTGCAGGGAACTGGCTTGTCACTGTCTGAGCATCCAGCAAAGGATGCCTCTGGAGGTACCTGCTGCTGTGGCCATTCCCAAAAGGTGTCTAAAACTAAATGGAACAAAGACTTCAACCTACAGATTGTTTTACGCACAATTATTTTTCTGAAGTTTTTGTTGGGGAGCTTTTTCAATGAAACTCTGATGGCTTTTTCAGTCATCCTGTTCCTTCTTGCCACTTGAAACCACAATAACTCAACAGCAAGTAAGTAGAAAAACCCAATTCAACCTGAAAATTTATGTTGGCTCAAAAGCACAAGGGAAAATCATAATAAAAGTCCAGACTGTCAATTAAAAACTACATTGCAAATCAACCACTTTGTGCCTTGATAGAAGTATTGTGTGTGATCTGCAGTCACCACTGCAGGCAACAGCCCCGTGGCACAGGGGTAAGGAATTGTTATTGTTTAATAAAACATGGAAAAAGCACCTCAAACTCCTGCACCAAACCAATTTTATCACCCCACCAGTGCCACTGTATTCTTCTGGAGAGCCAGGTTCACACAGCTGGCAGAACCAGCACCACCCTGCTCACCAGGAGAGCCACTGGCACATCAGCTGCACACAGCCAGCAGCAGCTTCCAGAGAGCAGCCCTGTTATCAGGCCAGGAAAGAAGAGTAAAAAATCTCCCCAGCCACTGTCTCAAAAGAAAAATAAATAAAAAGCAATAGCTGCACTGGTTATCTGGGAAAGGCAGCACGTTTTCACACCAGCCTGCTGAAATATCCCAGGAGAGCCTCAAAGTCTCCAAAAACTCAAATGCCCTGCCACCAACTCTCCCCTTTTCATCATGAAAATCATGGTGTTTTTCCTTCTTAATTGTAATAAATATATAAAGAATATTTTTTTAGTTAGCCTCCATATGGAGGAATCAAAGCCTGAGGGTTTATATTCTTTATTTTTCCTATGCAACAAATTTCACCGCATCTGTAATTTTGACAGATTTTTGCAACACAAAGAGCAAGATGCTGTTATTTCAGAAGGTGTAACATGAATGCTGCAGGTGCTCAGCTACACATTTCCTAACTTTTGTTGAGACAAGTGAAACCCCTTACCCACAAATTACTTGGGGAATGAAGTATCAGCAACCAGTTTTCAGGGACTGCTTGTTTACAAATCCAGCTTCTGGATGTCTTTATATAATGGAGAATATTTACCTTCTTGTGTGGAAACACATTGCTTCCAGCTGATGAGCTCTGCAACTGTTGTGTCTGATACCCATATATCAACCAGATTCTTTCTGAGCAAGTCATAAATCCATTTTTAACAGCCTGACAAGTAGGTGACACCATGAAATGTCTCATCATAAACACCATGATCTCAAAAGTTAGAGATTTTAATTTATAGCAGCACACTTAAATCTTGCCAAAATAAGAAAACCTTTGTTCAAGTTAATATGAAAAATAAGTTATAAGGCAAAAAGGTTTAAGCAGCATCAAGCTTTCTTTGTAAAAAACATGGACATGCAAATGGTTTTATAAATTTTCATGGCATTTCTTGCTTTCGTGGCATTTTCTTATCATATTTTTCTGATGCTATGAAATCAATGTTTATCTTAAAATCTTGGAGCAGTCAACCCTGATACTGGATAAGATACCTTATAAGAATCTTGAATGATTCAAGTAAGACAAATAAGTTAAATTTTTTGAGATATACACATATATGTCTATACACACATATGTAAATGAAATTGGAGCAGAGACATGTAAGAGCTAAAAATCTGCATTTAAAATAATATTTTGATCAAAAAGCTGATTAACAAGATCCAAATAAATTTTAGGGTTTTTTTTAACAGACTATGCCAGCTCAGCCCATCAACATGCAGTTTCTTTTATTATGGAAATATGCTTGCATAATTGTTTTTCATAAATTCAGACAGACTTGGAGCTGGAGGCAGGCTACGCTGCCAATGTTCTATTGAAATGTTTTTCTCTATGACTACTCCCAAGGACACACGTATATATTCCACATTCAGCCAAACTCTGGCCCTCCACGAACCTCAGCAATCTGTAAAAAGTTAGGGCTTGGGTTTCTTAAAATAAGAGAAAGTATCTTGTGGGCTAACTGCTAGGAACTGTCAGACTGTTATTCTGAAGCCAGCAGAGGATAAAAGTCCAAGCCCAGTTGCTAAGCTGCTGCTGCAGCATTAATTTCAGAGGGAAGGAGCACCCAGAGCGGCTGCTGGCTGCCTTGGAGCTCGTAGGTACACAGCAACTGCTGCTGCAGGTTTAAAAATAAACACCAGAAATGGTTAAATACCAGCCCTGGCTGCACTGAGCACACACAGCAAGTGCGGGAAAGCAAGCGAGGGGTCACTGTCTGCAAGATAAGTCAGAAAAGGCAAATCTATTCCCTCCCTGGGCTGTGCACGTCAGCTGGGAATGGATTTATTTGTGTGGCTGGAGATAAAGCTATCTGCTGCTCCCTGACCAACAGGCTGATACCATATCACAGTCACCTGCCAGTATCTCCTTCCATGGCCAAAGCCAGCACTTAGTTTACCAAGGAACTCCTACCTGGAGCAGAAAGCACTAAGCTTTGCTGTGAAAAAAGCTAAGTTAAATAAATAGGGTTATGATATGTTGAGAATAACGAGCAGGCGCTTGTAAAGCAGTTCAGTATCTTTGCCTCCAATTTTTCTAACTTACACAAATACCTTTCCAAAGGTGCAGACCTGCACCAGCCCTCTCCAGGCTGTAAGGATGTAAGCTGTACCATCACAATGGTGGGCTTAATGGGCCCTTCTGAACTTGCAGACAGAAATACCTCACCACCACTTAAAACCAGCTCATTGTTCATTAACATTGCACTAATTTCATCTGATAAAATATAAGCAGCCAGAGCATCTCCTCCAAGGCTGGGCAGGTAAACCTTGGTGCTGCCTCTGAGTTCCCCCAGCCTGTGTCATCTGTCCCCAAAATCACTGGGCCTGCTTTGAAGAGGGCTGGCTTGGCCTTTTAGCTGAGACCTAACAAAAGCTTCTCCCACAAGGAGTTCTGTACGTCTGCTGAAAAGCAGAGTTAATTAGTTTCTGAAAACTTCTCCGTTTACACAGTAAATGCTTCCTTTCTGCTCTATCAAAACTCGGCGGTGTAAATAATTATTCCATAAAAGCCCCTGGGAAAGAGTCCAACTCCTGCACCACTTCAATAAGGTTACAAGACTGATGAGTATCGGCCCTTCCCGTCTTTCAGGTAATGAAAAATGTTTCTGTACAACTTTCATTATCTTTCAAATTCCGGGTTAGCATTCACAGGCATGGTGTGGTCGGGGGCTCATTGTGTGTGTGAGAACTACACTGCAAGCAACATTCATTTACTCCCTCCAGGGCACGGCTTGAAAGGCTTGGGGGTCAAATGAATTCACACTTATTACTGGGTTGAGATTCTGCTTTTAAATTATGGCTCTAATCCTGCAATTTTAGGCAAAAACCCCCGTGATTAAATATGAGTTCTGCTGCAGAGCGAGTCAGCGGGAGCAGGCTGCCTTTGGAAAGCCAGGCTGATGTTTGAGCTGCGCTTTGACAGAGCCCTGGTGATCCCCCATGGGGGGGTGTCCCCCCAAGCCCCTTGGCTGTCAGATGCAGCCATTTCACAAACCCAGAGTCAGGTTTCCCTCCCCTCACCGAGGAATTTGTTTCGGGGAATGATTACTTTGTCTGTGATAATGTGAATTAAAAACATATTTCAGTTGACACAAAACCATGGGGGATTGAAACCAAAAGGTGCTTTTTAAAATTCTGGCTGTTAAAGGGACAAAGCTCTGATTAAATTTACAGCTTGGCTGCACACTTCTTAAACAGGTAACAATGCCTATTACTGAAAAAAGACCTTTCATGAAGTAATAATTTTAAAATTGTGTATATTGTGTGAGAGAGGTACCTGTATGATCCAGACACCTCCCTGTGACACTTCTCATGCAGGATCTGCTCTCAAGGCTAAACCTTTGGATGGTTTAATCCCCCCATGGATGGAGAGAGCTGCCCACTTGGACAAATCAAACCCATCTGCTGCAGACACAGCATCACTCACTTGTCACTGACTCACCACCGTGCTCTTTTCCTTTACATTGTTTTATTTTTCACTTGAATAAGATTTGCCCAGCAACATGACCAAGATGACTATTTATGCATAATATGATAGATTTCTATCAGATGTAATATTGACTGTACACACACAGAACCATTCACAGCAATTCATGATTTGTGACAGTCCTGCGAGTTTAATTACTCACAAATGTCAAAGTTGCAGAGAGAGAATAATAGATAATCTCCAACTTCACCTCAGTAAATGTCATTATTATTGAACCAGCATTTGCCATGATTTGGATTTTTTTTAAATCCCAATTTTGGTGTGATTAAAGGAAAATTATTTTTGTCTATTTTTCATTTCTTTGTTTACTTCTGCTTTAAGGGCTCTGGTTACCATAAATTTAATTGTCCAGATCTCAGAATCCTGCAAGTTGCTCTAATAGCTTCTCTTCCTACCTCTAAGGATAAAAATATGAAACAACACATTTTTCTTGTCAGCTCTCTGGATTTTTGTAAATCACCTGGCTGTGGCTATTGACCAAATGAGTAACACTCAGGCGGGTCCTTGGTACAAAAATACTGACTCTGTAAAACAATTCTGTGCTAAGTGCTCTGGAGAGCACAGGAGATGGGCTGGGGGTTTTTTGGGATTTCTGCCTCCTCCGCCCCATGGCTGCTTCTCCCAGTGCTGGCTTGGACCATTCACTCAGACCCACAGTGCTCCTCTGGCTCTCATCTGACACACCAAACTGGAAAATGGCTTACAAGCAGATTTATTAATAACCTCACCTGAGTGCAGTCACACTCAGCATTAGGGTTATTTACAGAGTGATTCAATTCCATCATAATTTACAGGCTTTTATGCCTCAGACAAACACAGACTATAGTAATTTGCCATTGAATAATAGAATTAGCTTAATTTAATCATGATTAAAGACATAAATTGCTCATGACAAAATGAAACCCAGGGGAGAGGGTGGTAAGAGCTATGCAAGTCACCCCAGTTCAGTGAGCTCCCCATTACAGTATGAATACTGGGAATTGTCCTCAGGAAACAGACAAGCGGTGCAATTCCTGGAGTGGGCAGAGCCCTCAAACACCCATGAGCACAAAAGATCCTTCAGATTTATATCCCAGCAAAATGAGTTAGGGGCAGCAATCTGCTAAGGGAAAAAAATCAGAGGTGCTCCCCTGTGAAATCACCAGTGTGTTTTGACACAATCTACTTCTCACATTTGCTATTGTTACGTTTGTGTGGCAATTTGGGATCACATACCTGTGGTTTCTCCATTCCAGAAAGAATGTCTTGAACCCTTTTTGTTTCTGAATCAAATTCTGTAAAAGAGAGAACGTGGAAAGAGGAAGAGAAATAAATTACCAAAATTAAACAAGAATTTCAGTCACATAAATAAAAACAGGGGAGGGGGACAAACAGACATCACAACATGAGTAGCTGCAGACTGGGCTGTCCTCAGGCTGGCCACCAGGGCCCTGGAGAGGACAAATGTCCTTGTCCCATGCAGGGAAAACCCAGGGGAGCCACACAGGAGCCTGCCCTGAGCCCCAGCACCACCCTGCAGCCTCCTGTACCTAAACTGGGTAATGCCCAAGGTTCTTCTGCAGCCACCTTGTCCTTAAACCTGGGTAATGCCCAAGGTTCTCTGCAGCCTCCTGTACCTAAAGTGGGTAATGCCCAAGGTTCTCTGCAGCCTCCTGTACCTAAACTGGGTAATGCCCAAGGTTCTTCTGCAGCCACCTTGTCCTTAACCTGGGTAATGCCCAAGGTTCTCTGCAGCCACCTTGTCCTTAACCTGGGTAATGCCCAAGGTTCTCTGCAGCCCCCTCGCAGCTGGAGGCATTGAAGTGATGCCAGCAAATTCCAGAGTCTGAGCAGCAGCAATCCATCCTCCCTGCCTGGCACAGCAGCTCCTGCAGGGGCTGCACAGAGGCACCCACAGAAATGCTCCCCCCTAAATCAGAGGGATAACTGTGCACAAGAGGCCATCCTCTGAGCGGTGGAATAATCGGCCTTTCCCTCATCCTCCCCCCTCAAAACAATCTTGAGGTGAAACATCAGCTCACAGTAATGAGGTGACACAAAGCAGCTTTATTCCTTTTGGACCACAGCACACAGAGGCCTCACTTTCCACTACAGTATTCTCTAATGGAAAACCAGGAACATATTTTCCTGGGATTTTTTTTTCTTATTTTTCTTCTTTAAAATGTTAATGCAAAAAGTTTGCTCACCAAAGCAGAAGAACATATCTCACCTAAAGCAAAATGAGCCAGACGTCCTTGGCACAGGAAGCAAAAAACATTAATAAACAGGTGGGATCAGATCAACAGCTCTCACTAATGATTCCCCCAAAACCTGACCTACTTCTCCTAGCCCAAGAATGTGTCTTTATTTTTGTCTGTGACCTGCTTTAAAAAAGTAGATCTTCTTTTTACAAATTCCATGTGCTCGACTGCCAAAAAATAGAATTGGCTGAATGCTGATGGCAGAATTCCAGTGTAAATGCCCATCTCTCCCTACAAGAATGCACCTTAGTGTGGACTGGGAATGACAGATCTCCTGCTGCACACATTCCTGGATTCCTTTTAGTCTCAACCACTTGGAAAAGAAAGGAGTAGTAATATTTGAGGAGAAGCTGAGGATAGCAAGATTGTTGTTTTTCCATAGCAGATAACCCTCAGAGTGTATTATAAAGAGCATAAACTGGCAGGATTGAGCCAGAATATGATAATATTGATTTCAAAACTTCACAGATGGACTAAAATGGCTGAGGGAAAGTCTGAGATGCTGATCCAAGTGAAAATGTCAAAATTTGGGGTGTTTCAGAATGCAGGGTTCCTTTCAGTGTCAGTAAAGAAGTTGAACTGTGCCACAAAAGCCTGGAGGCAGATCTGCACAGTGTGGAGATCCTGCAGGCTTATCTCGAAGGGATGCTAATCAGAAGCAGCTTCTGCAGCTCTGAGCGTAACAAAAAAGCTGCTACTATTTTATCAAAAGTTTCTGGTTATTATGTCACCCCTAATTACAACCCCCAGAAGCTGAGCGTGAATCACGCTCAACCCTAAATCCCAAACATGTGGACTGCATTTTCTTCCCTCTCTCTGCTTTCTAGCAAGGATGCTCTGTCACACTGAGCAGGAGAGGAAAGCAGACCCTGGAGCCCAAGGAAATCTCATTTCCCTCTGCCATGAGAGGTGATTGCTTTGCACAGTAACTCCCACCCTCTGCAGGTCAGGGCTGAGGGTTCAATCTGCTCCAGGCACAGGAACTGACTCCAAGGCTTAAGGGAGGTGGGTATGCCCAGCAAATAAATAAGAATTTAATTACTTCAATCAAACTTCTCAATGAAGTGTCCCACTCAGGGATTTTTTTTACATTGGTGTCCCAGTTATGCATCTTGTTCACACAGAGGCTTGAGTACCAGATACAGAGGGCTTGGGTTATTACAGATATGTGGACATTTTTGAGGGCAATATGGATATTCATGAGGTCAGTATGGATATTTAAGTCACCAAGTGTTTATACAGATAAACTGGAAGTGGAAGAAGACAATTCTTCTTCAAAGACTTTGAGGAGAGGGAATGGGATACATGTAACAAATAATGCCCTGTGAAAATAAAGCAAATACTAAAGGCAGAAAGCAATAAACATCCACAAGTGATGTCTATAACAGCATCAGAGAACATCACAGGTTGAAAGGGGACCTCAGGAGTGGTTATCAAGAATTACAGTATTTACCGTATTTCAAACCCTTAGCTTCCCATTTCAAGAGGAATTAAAAAAAAATCTCAGGCTTCTCTGGATGGCCGAGTTCCTTTCTGTAATAAACATGATTATTCACAGTCTCCTGAGCTAGACTAAGCTAAGGAGAAGAGAGACCTGTCCCAAATCCCTCCCTCAGTAGGGAAGTTGCTCTGACCTGCCAATCTCTGACTATCATGCTCAACATCCTCCTTCCAAGCCAGCAAAGAGCAGAAAGCCTTGTGAAACAGAAGACAATAGAGAAGGAAAGAAACCATCTGATATGCTGATAGGCTCTATCTGATAGCACAGAGTTGCTGGAAAGCCTTTCCTCCTGGCTCTGTTGTCACTCAGCAGCCACCAAGGACTATATTCTGAATTACCAAGGACTATATTCTAAATTAGCTCACTGGAGCATTTGGGGACAAGGAGCATCTGTTGGACATCCCAGATGCAGTGGTGGAAAAGTGGGCAAGAACAGCCGCAAGAAATGGGCAAATCTTGATGTAAACCAGGCAAGTCAGGTTCAAAAAAATTACCTGGAAGTGCTCAGGAAAGGTGGTGGGTGGCTGAGCATGACTCACCTGCCTGGGACTCATTGTCCCAGCATAACAGACAGTGGATTTGCATTTCAGTCTTTGTCCTTTCCTCTTCCTCAGCTGATTGAGCAGCGAGTATCTGACAGGCAGACACAAAATCTGTATGCCACCCCCCAAAGGCTGGGGCTGGCAGGAGCTGCTTTCCTCCTTTTTCACAGGGAACAGGAGCTCAGCCACGTCAAGGAGGAGCCCAACCAACACTTCAGGTCATTGTCCCATTTTAACTTTTCCCATCAACATCTGTTCCCCACATCTGCTATGGCAAAACTCTTCCTCCTAGGAGGAAGCTGGGGGTGGGGATGAATTCCTTGTGAATGCTCCATGGTGTCCTCTGAGGGACAGTACAAAAAAATCTGAGTTACCCTGCTAATCTCAGAGACATTTTAGCACTCCCAGCATTAGGTTCTAATTCCCAGGCTGTGGGTTCTTTGGATCCAGTGTTCCAGACTAATCTTTTATTGCAGAAAAGCCAGCTGAAAGACCTGGCCCACATCAAGTCCTCTTTTTTTTTTTTTTCAGAGTTTTGAATCATAAACAAAACTCTATAGATACAACCAGGAGTAAATGCCCCTAAAAGCTAAACACTTTCTCAGCAGCTGTTTGGTGCTAACAGGGTTTCAGTGTCAAGCCCTGCTGATCTAAAGCCTTTTATTCTATGCTTCTGTTAGCCTGTGTCTATGTTCCTTTCTGCACGTACAGCACAAATATAATTTTCAGACCTTTCCAACCATACTTTTAAGCACAAAGCCCAGCTTTAAAAAACAGGGGGGAAAAATGTCAGTTCAAGGTAAGTTTGAAGTTTCCATCAATAGTTTACATGTTTGCATGAACAGCAGCTGTGTATGTAAATGGTTTGAAAGAGCTAAAAGCTCTAAACTAATTAAGATTTTCCCATTGCAAATACACATTTTAGGTTTGTTCTGCATTCTTTCCTTCGAAGAGAGGAAAAGGTCCAGCTCAAGACTTAGCTTCTGGCCACAGAAAGTATTTACTGTTTCAACAGCCCTTCCATTCCAAGGGAATGACATCAGCACCAGCACTTTGCAAACTCTGAGCCTAATTCTCAAGCAGAGCTCCATGCTCACAGATATGCCAGTCACAACATGACATGCTTTCTCAGAATTTGTTCCAGATTTATCGGGGCTGTGACCGGCTTCAGCGCTGGGAAGGATCTTTCATCAGTCACGTACAGCACAACCTACAGCCCCCGAGAAAATGAGCTCTTCAAACACAGCCCAGCTCCTCTGTGAGCTGCCTGCCCGTGTCAAAGCTTAAGGCACCAAGAAGAACACATCCAGCCTTTCAGGGAATGGCAGAAATGTGAGTTAATAAGCTCCTTTGCACAAGAACAAACCCAACGCCGCAGATGTCACGCAGCAGCTGAGTCACAGCACCAGAGGGGATGTGACACAGCCACAGAGTCCATCCTCCCACACCGAGACACGATCATCTGCGCCCAAACCACTTCTCTGAGATGAGAATTAAATAAATTAAATAAATGACCTCCTGCCCTGTGATCATGGTCATCTCCAAACTTCTCAGCTAGGAGAACTACCACAGCATCTAACTCTTCATCTCAGGGAAAATCATCTCAGCTCTCCCTGCTGCATCTGAAATTTATTCCTTCTTTCCTGCACATCTGCCTCAGGAGAGTTCATCACTCCTTCCTTTGTTGCCACCTTTCACATACTTGCAGGAATTTCTTCCTTTAACAAAACAAGCTCATTTCTCCATACCTGTCTGTAAGAGATCCCACCTGCTGCTGTCCCCTGCCACATTTTTTAAATTAGTTTCCATCCTTCTGAGGATATGGCAGCTGAGGTCCTGGCAGCACCAGAACTAAGGACCCATTTACAGAGCTTGTTGAGAAGTTTACTCTTCTCTTTGTCTACAGAATAACTTAATTCTTGGGGTATGTAATCTCCTATTCCTCCCAGAATTAAAAAAAAAAAAAAAAAAATTACAAATTAAAATACCTA